TAATATATCTGATTACTTGATTAGTGGAATATGGTGATGTGTGTATACAGAAGAAATTATTCCTCGTTTGTTTGCTCAAACCTACGAGTTTCTTGCGAACAATTGCGATGAAAAACCCACTTATTAATCCAGAATGCGATATTAGAAAGTTACTAAAATTATACAGGGTGATTCTCAATAGATGAATAGAAGTTTACAGGATGATTCAATAAAATATGCAAATGTATAATGCATCATACTTGTTTCACTCGGTATTGAAACATTGAAAAATAAACTGCTTTGATGGAGCAATGTCAACGAGATTCGGATAAAGGTCGTGATTCTAAGGTCATTTAACGAGGATTTTTAGTTTATTAGCGTTTGTACAGGGTGAGTCGACGAACCGTTGAATAAATAATCGAAAATTCCGTCGTATTTCTCTCGAATCTCTGTGGTTTTAACGAGGCATGTTCGGGTTTTTTTTATTCGGATAATCCGGGGTTTGTGTGCGATAAACAAGCGACAACGTTTCATCCCTTTGTAGGGCGGATTTATATCGGGGAAATATTACCGATAAATACCTACTTTTTGGAATAAAAAAAATACCAGTACAAAAGCGGAGGCACGCACACAAACGGATAAAATCGTTTAGATGGCGAATTTGGATAAAAAAAGGGAATTCCCCGACCGGAAAAATCCGATTTAGATGTAAAAATATAAAATTTAAATTCGTTTTAGAATCGGTAACTACCTAATTTTTCTCGATAAATCCTCCAATCAAACGAGGCATGATTACAAACAAATTAATCGAATATCTTACAATATTTTTTCTACGACAGCGCTTTTTGTTATCGCTTATAGGAAGCTTAAAATTTATTTGTAGAAACATAAATTATCTCATTTTATTTCCCTCAATAAACCCCCCAATGAAAGGAGACATATAATAGAGTATCTTAAGTTAGTTTTTCTACGACAGAGTTGTTTGTTTTCGCCTTAATCGGAATTATCATGCTAATTTTGTAAACCAAACACGCGTTACTTCGGTTGACTCAACCGAGCGGCGACATTCCCAGTCGAAATAAAACGAAATGCCGTGATTAAATTTCTTTATTTCCGCGCGTCTCGTGCAAGTACCGTGCGAGTACTAATTACTCATACGCGGGTACGTGTTTTGTGGGCGTTTGTTGGTTATTTATTTTTTTTTCTTTTTCGATTTTCGAAGTGGAAAAATCGTGAGAAAGCCGAACGTTTGTTGTGTATATAGGAGAAGTGAAAATTGTCGATTTTTTCTTTTCGCGCGTCGGAAAAATCGGAGAATTCTTCACATGCTGCGTTAACTCGATCCGAATGTCGTTCGTGAAGGAAATGACGAAGGGCAAACAACGGAAATTTCCTCTGGGCAGGAGTTTCGCCACGCTCAGCAGACGGTTTAAGAACAAGGACAAACTTAAAAGGTAGTTCATTAAAAAAAACATTGAAGCTTTTCAATTTCTATTATTTTTGAAAGAAGTAAGGTTATGTATACCAATAAATTTACAGTTGCCAGATTTACCCCGCATTCAGAAGTTTTTTTATAATCATATCATCGTGTTTAAAAGATTCAAATCAGCAACGTTGGTTACAAAACCAGTTGGTTTTAAAAACCAACTTCTGAATACGGGCGTTAGTGTAATTACCAAAAATACCCCTAAATTTTTAAACAACCTCTATATTATTAGAAACCACGCAATTTTTTTAACCAAACGCCATTTTTCTTACACTTCAAAATCATCACATTTTCTCGCGTATTATTTAGGCAGGTAGTAACATTTTATAAGTCGATTTTTCCGCCTGGAAGATTGGTTTTTCCTCGCGGAAAAGCACCTGCACATTTCGTACGAAATGAAAGTCATACGACCCTTCTTCGTATATATAAAAAGCGGGAAAATCCTCGCGCTTTTACGAGAGTAACCGTAAAATAATATCTACAACCCGTATGGTTACACGTTACATATTTACATGCGAAAATCCTTCGGTTATTACATTGTTGTATTGAAAAATTTTCACCTCTACTTTATTTAATTGAATTAAAATTAAAATATATCTATTTATACGTAATAATAACCGTATTTGATTCAGAATAACAATTTAAAATGGGTAAAAGTGGGTTTTACAATGTAACCAAAGGACTTTCTTCTTCTTGTTCCGTTGCGGCCTCGTTTGTTAGGGCTTTCGGGTCAAACGCCGTTTGATTCGTTTGTTAATTTTATTGAAATTTCCGTTGATTGTATTTAAATGCTCGTTTTGTGTACGTTCGGAAAAGCGCGAAAATGCAGTCTCTCCCGGGAACTTTATGCAAAGCGGTTTTCTCGTCGAAAAACAAAAATGAAAAGCGAAAAAAAGGAAAGCGCGCCGCTTTCTTCGGCTGTACAGTAAAATATTATGCGAGAAATAAAAACGGGCGGAAAAACCATCTCGAAGCGCGAAAACTCGAGGAAAAATTTACCATAATTTGTTAATATTCCGCACGGTAATTGCAATAAGCGGTGACGTGACCTGAAAATTCTATTAAGAAAATTGCGAATTTTATTGAGCAAGTAAACAATTTTTCACGCTTTAGTGAATTCTTTAATTTAGTATACAGGGTGAACCAGCTTTCAAATTTTTATTCAGGCTTACATTGGAGTAAAGATTCTGAAGCGTTCAAAATAGTTCTCGACTGCTCTAAATCATTCTATGCAGTTCTAAATGGTTTTAGATAGTTCTAAATAGTTCTGGAGCATTCTAAAGGTTCTATCAATTATTTCGGAATCGAATACATCCTGTAGATATTCTATTATCGTACACATTTTAGCGCCAGTAGGTACATGTGAAATTTTGTTACTTCCTCTTCGACTCTATTTTTAGTTTACTTTCGAATCCCGTTTGGGAATAGGGAAAATAGCGATTGGAATAGTTGGAGAAATTAATAACATTGTACAGGGAATCCGACATGCTAGGTTGAATGACTGTATTGGGTTACAATGCGTACGAAAATAGAATTGTTTGGAATCCGTGGTGTACCGGGTGGACTAAAAAATGGTTTAGAAACTGTTGTCGAGAAGTTTTCTTTAAAATGAGGATCACTTGCGGCAAACACCCGGTATTTTGTGTGATAAGCTTTTTTATTAATCATAAATTATGTCGGGAAATTTCTGAAATATTATTTACCTATATTTGTAATTTAATTTATGCTCTCTCTAATTTGATTCGAACAAAAGTTGGAGAAAGTTAACCTTTTTCGACATTTTCGTTTATGCTAATTCGATTTTTTTTTTCGTTTGCCATAGGAATAAAATAAAATTCGTTCGAAATGGAATATTTACCGATTAATAGTCGGCATTTTATGGCTTTTGGCACGAATTTCGATAGTTAATTTAACTAGTAATCAATATAATCGATTTCTATTTCTAACGCTCGCGTCATGGCGACTTTTCTAAAAAAAAATCGCCTATCCTAGATTTGCATTCGAAATTTCAGTCCACCCTGTATAGCAATCCTGTTTCCAATCACCTGTTTCCACGTCGAATCGAATCGGATTCCATCGATTACTCTGTTATCGGCGCATACGTGAATTGTATTTTACATTTCATCCCTTTTCCACCGCCCTTAATTAGTCGGTAATCCAGCCAATATTCCTCTACGTTTTAAACCAAACTCATCATCAATTTCAAAAATGTATTCCTCTCAATATTTGTAACATAATTTATAAATTAGTACAGTATCTTACGGTAAATATATCAGCGTAAATTTGGCGTCGGCTCCCAGACTATAACATCATCCCTTTTCGAAATGCACGGGGCCATTTTTCCCCGGCCTCTCTCACCTTCAGGTCGGGGGGTTCAGGGTTCAGTGTGTGCACCCCTGTCGATTGGGGTTGTTGTCGCTTTCTCGTTCGGATTTCAGTCGTTTTCGCAATGTGATTTGTAGTGCAGAGATATAAAAAAAAATGCCGAGGATTAGATTGAAGCTGCAGTGAGTAAATTTCGATTGAAACGGTTTTGTTTTAGACCTGATAAGGGATGAATTTCGTGGTTGTTAAGGGTTCTAAGAGATGTTGTAGTTTCTGTGTTTCTAGTTTAATATACAGGGTCTTGTGTTTGTTCAACAGGGCGGTCAAAAAAATTTAATTTGGTGGAGTTCGTGCAGCTTGGGTATATAATTTCATGTATCATTACAACAGCTATTTTTCATTGGGTCGCCCTGTATTTTACAGCGTTTTGTGCTTCCATTTTAAGTTGATTCTCAGTACATTCCCAAGCGTAAAATAGTTCACATGTCACCCCTTAAGACCGCCAATACACACCCTCAAATTCATAATTCCTGGGATAAAAATCTGGGATCATATAAAATTATTCCGACTTTTGGTAAAAATTTTCCACAATAGATGCTATGAGAATAGACGAGATATTAGTCCATATATGTATATAAAAATGAAGCAATTACTTTGAAGTAAAAGGTAGAGGCAAAAAATAATAGAAAAAGGTTCTAAAACTTTATACAAAGATTTTAAAACCATGAAACCTTTTGCTTTAAAAAGCAACAACAGGGTCCTCGAAGCAAAACCTCTCTTCCTTCTTTTCTTTTTACGCATTTACCTTGAAGCAATTCCTTCATTTTTTGAACCAAAAGGTTCTACTTCTTTTTACAAATACGCCCTAATATCATTGCTTGGAGTCTCTATATTAGGTACAGAAAAAGATTCAAATCAACCAATTAAGCCAAATTTGAATCTTCCTAGAATTTACTACCCCGAAGTGGCGCCCTTAATAAACCTCTCTACACTGTCCTTCATTCCAGATCGCAACATAGGTTATATAGGCTATAGGTGCGATAAAGACAACTTCCATTAGACACTTATAAAGGAAAAATAAAGAGTGACATTTGTGTCATTGCAACTTTCCACTCTGACAACCGTTATTTTATTATTTTTTCTTTGTTCAACTCATACAAACGACCACGAATTGAAGCAATCTGTATATTTTTCCTCTCGATCATTCCAGAGACGTCAGAACGGTGGTACTCCAAAAGGGCACGACGGGCCTCGGCTTCAACATCGTGGGCGGCGAGGACGGCGAGGGCATCTTCATATCGTTCATATTGGCCGGCGGCCCGGCCGACGCCTGCGGCGAATTGCGTCGCGGCGATCAAATACTGAGCGTCAACGGCGTCAATTTGCGCAACGCCACCCACGAGGAGGCGGCGATGGCGCTCAAGGTAATCGACGCAGTCAGTATCTATCCAAAAAAAAAACAAAGCACGTTTATTTAGTATATGTATTTATAGTATGTCGAAAAAAAATCGAACGATGACGTCACCGCTGTTATAAATCGAATGAATTGTACCACCAGTCGTGGCCCACTCTGAACTGATAGTGACACATAGAGAGAGAGAGAACACTGCGAGAGGCACTAGTAAGAGAGTGAGAGAGAGAATGTGATGGTTAAGTGAGAGAGTACCACATCACTGTAGAAACTAACGATATATTACGTTTATTGTTAACACGTTGTGACGTCATCGCTCGATTAATTTAGTGCATGGGTGTATTGGTTCTAGTTCTTGCACGATTCGATTGCGGCGACAACAATTAGTGAAATTGCTTTGTTATATTAAGATTGTATGTTTTTTTTGTTTTAGGGTACCAATCAAACGGTGACGGTCGTGGTGCAATACAGACCGGAGGAGTACAATCGATTCGAAGCGAAAATACACGATTTGAAACAGCAAATGACCCATCCGGTGACGGGCGGCACGTTGCTCAGGACATCACAAAAGAGATCGCTTTACGTTAGGTAGGAAATTCGATATGGAATCCGGAGATATATCGGGAGATGGTAGATTAGATTCCGCTTGCGCTAAACATTCTTTCGCCGAATGGCTAACGGCCTAAATTTAAGGAGAACACCCTGTAAATAGCCCGGCATTTGGCCGGGCGATAGGAATATGACGTCGCCCTAATCGCCCGGAAAATGTATTTTCCCCAAAACGTCGCCTCTAGGATTTTCCGTGATATGCGGTTTGCGGCGGGTAATTGGTAATAAGATAAAGAATATTTTGGGAAAGTTTCAAAAAAATTGTCATAATACTTTCCGAGAAAATCTCGAAAAATCCAAAAAAAATGCCGAAATCGGCGCGAAAAATCCGATTTTTCACCAAGACGGAGTTTCTAAACGTCGATTTTCCAATAAGGCGTTTTCCTTTACGTAGGAATCGGTACTTTTCCCTGTGGAAAAAGACAAATTGCGAGAGTAAAAAAAACACGCCAATCAGTCAGTGAATGAATGAATGTCTAGGATTTTTCGAGACATGCGATTTGCGACGAGTAATTAGTAAGAATGTAAAGAATATTTTAGGAAAGTTTTGAAAAAATTGTCCAAGTACTTTCCGAGAAAATCTCGAAAAATCCAAACAATGCCGAAATCGGCGCGGAATCTCTCCTACAGTTGTATAGTTATAGCGACTTCCAGGATTTTCCGAGACATGCGGTTATCAGCAAGTAATTAATAATAATATAAAGAATACTTTAGGAAAGTTTCAAAAAAATTGACGGAGTAATTTCCGAGAAAATCCCTTTAAAACTCAAAAAAACCCAAAATCGGCGCGAAAAAACCGGTATCTCACCGGCACGTAGACTTCTCCTAGTAAAAAAACACGAATTGCGACAGACGAATGAACGTCTCCTACAGTAGTATAGTTATAACATTTGAACAATAATAGTAATCGGTGTTATTTTTACAGGGCGTTGTTCGATTACGATCCGTTAAAAGACGACGGGCTGCCGTCGCGAGGATTGGCCTTTCACTACGGCGATATATTGCACGTGACGAACGCCAGCGACGACGAATGGTGGCAGGCGAGGAGGGTGTTGAATACGGGCGAAGAGCAGGGCATGGGCATCGTGCCGTCGAAGAGGCGATGGGAGAGAAAACAACGGGCCAGGGATAGATCGGTCAAGTTTCAGGGACACGCGCCCAATATGCTCGATAAGGTGCGTTTAGAATCGGGGAGTTTGTTCTCTATACTAAAATCTATTCGTGCACACACCGGTATATTTAAAGGGACAGATATAAAATCCAATTATTTTCTCTATGATATACTGTTTGTTAATATGTCTTAAGACAAAGTTAGGTGAAGTAATTGGGGCACTTTTTACAAAAATTTATTATGTGCAACCTGTTGAAGAAGTGAGCAAGTCGAAGATGTCAGATTTGAAATAAAATACTGGTTTTAAACAGAATAATTTAATTGTACATTTTGAACTTATTTCAATAATTAAATTCATTTTTGGCAATATTAGTCGGTATTAAGTCACCCATTATTAGCTGCTCTTTGCAATACAATCAAAATTGATGATAACAAATAAAAAACAATAGCAACAAATCCGAACAAATTAAACATTAATTAATTACAATGTATTGTTAGCTCTGTTAAAACGCGTTTGAAATGTAAGACACAAAACAAACTTTTGAAGTTTTTTCAACAGACAAAGCCCACATTTGACATTAAAAACTTTAATTATGACACAAAACCTTGATAGCTATCTAGATATAGACTATAAGACAATAAAATATAGAAATATATTACATTTTTCAATCTGTTCCTTTAAATTTGCCGGTGTGTATTTCAAATAGGGACGATGTATAATGGTCAGTAGACCTATCGCTCCCTTTCTAGTACACACAACCACTCGTATAGATAGTAAAGAAGAGATAGTTTAGGATAAGCGATGGGTCCCTTGTACACGGTGACAAAAAGTGACCCGGAAAATCGGAATAAAACGCAAAATTCCTAATTTTTTTTAATTTTTCCTTCAAAATATGCTTCCTTTTTACATCGTCCGTATTTGAAATATGAATAGAAATATGTCTGTACCACTTTCTTACTCATTTTGTGAGTAAAAAACGATTGTTAATATTCCAAGTTATGCAATTTTTGATTGAAGTATTTTGTAAACGCCTTGTACATAAATAATATTTTAATTGTTATTTTTTTCTTTTGTAGCAATCAACTTTAGATAGAAAGAAGAAAAATTTCTCGTTTAGTAGGAAATTCCCATTTATGAAAAGTAAAGATGATAAATCTGAAGACGGATCTGATCAAGAACGTAAGTATAATTTGTTCAGAGTTATTTTTTTCTTCAATTTGCTTTTTATTTTTGTTTTTTGTTCGGGGTATGTTTTGTATTTTTTCTTGTGTACAGATTGTAGAAAAATCTTTTTAACTACCCCTTAGAGTTCCTCAAACGAGTTCAATTGATGTACTCATTAATTTTTTTTCTATTTTTACTTTTCAGTCAATACTTTTCTATTTTTTTTTTCTAATTTTCACAACACAATCCCTAAATTTAACAGTACCTACGAGTATCTTCTTTGCAAAACATACCTCGTGCATTTTTGTGTTTGTTTTAATTTTGGTTTTCTTTTTTACATTTTAGATTTTAATTTTTTTGTACCTTTAGACCAGAATTCTGTTCAACTAAACCACGATAACGAAAAAAACCCGCAATGTAAGTATTTTCGCAACGAAAAGCGCATTTGATCGAAAATTGTACACTTATACTAACTCTTGGGTGTAAAATCGTATGGGAAAATTCGCGTTGAACCTGCCACGTTGCCACGTCGCTTTTTTTTCCGATATTAAAGGAAATGTATTTGATGCGTTTGTCGTCGCAGGTTTAGCGCGAACATCGCTTGACTAACCGAATGTTTCTAACAACAAAAAAATAGTAGAGAGTTTTTTTCGTTTTGTGTAGTTTACCATTTCGCAGATTCGAAACGTGTTATAAAATTCTACATCGTGTTTAAATGGTCGTTAATTAATTTTTTTCATTGCAGCTTTCATGCTGTGTTATACGCAAGAGGACGCCAATACAGAAGGTACAGTATTGAATTTGGACGATTCTTCCACGTTTCTTTATATAAATAGTTTACTTTTTTTTATCATTTCTATCGAATACGAATCGCGGAATACGTTGTGAATAAAATTAGTGGCCGTATTTTCGATATGTCCGCTCGATTGAAACAATTTGTTTTAAATAATTTTATATTTAATTATTTCATATGGAAAATTAACGAGCCGGCCTATCGAAAAACACACACACGCCCTCCTACAATATTTTAAATTGTTTTTTCTTTTTTGGCTTCTTTCTATGTTCAATAAAAGTACAGGTGAAATATTATATCGCGTCGAACTGCCCTATATGGAAGAAATAACGCTAATTTATTTGGAAGATAAAAACAATTCGGGGGACATTAGTAAGTCTTAGTGTTGTGGTTTGCATGTGGAGCCGCCCGCAGGCCGACAATTTTTTTTTTATATCGAATTTACCATTATTTTCTGTTTTTGTTTTTAATCGAATTAAAAATCGTCCCGAACGCGCCAGTCCCACTTCTGATATGACGTCACGTCGGTCATTTAATGAACGTGTTATACGTATTAAATTTTTTTTTCGAAGTGGTACTGGCGTTTTGGGCTTTTCTGTTAATTTCGCCCCCCCTTATTAATGCACTTGTCGATTAAATTTCGTGTGTAAAACATACTTTCCTAGACGATTTTGTGCTGTAAACATTACACGTTGATTAATTTTTCCATTATTTAACGAATTTACTTTTATGGGAAACATTTTTATGGCAAAAAATTGTCGATGAAGTAATATTTATAGTTATGAAAAAACCACCTTAAAAACATAATCTTTAGAGAACTCATCGTTTCGTGTACCTAATTGGCTTTTCTCGTAGTAATTACATGATCAATTAACAAATTAGCCTCATTACTGTTATTCACACGTCACTAATTTTATTATTTCTTTTTTATTAATAACAATCGAACGATTTAATCATTTTGTCGTTGGGCTCACTAATCGAACATTTTATTTTTTATTCTTTAGCGATAGATAAATTTTTACATAAAGTTCGTACGGTTTTAAAATGAAAATGACGTCATCTTTAGTAATTTCCAAGCAGTTCGAAATTGCCAATGCGTTGTTGCCATATCGTTAGGGTCAAAATTCCGCTCTTTGTAGTTGACAAGTTTTCACTACAATTTGTTGTTTTTGTGACTTTCCCAGCGATTTTTGTCTTTTTATGGAGCGTTCTAAATAAGTTTGAAGCTTTCTAAACGATTCTAGACAGATCTAAATAATTCTGGAGCGTTCTAAATGGTTCTGAAGCGTTCTTAACGATTCTAAACAGTTCTAAATGATTCTGGAGCTACTATTTGTGACCTTTTTAAAATGTAAACATTGAAAGCAAACACAACCTTAAATTAAATGTATCCGTCATAGAAAGGATTTCGATTACAACCCGGCAACGTCGCAACAGCTGACGTCATTGACGTTTTAAAACGTACGGACTTTATTCACCATTTCTTTACTCCCAATTTACTGCGAATAATGTGATTATTTATTCCTGGAGGCTGTAAAATCGGCAAATTGCCCAATAATTTTGTTTCGAAGTTTTATGGTTCACCCTGTAACTCGTTATTACTTGTGCAGGAGTATTGTATTGTATTATGTACTAGTTTCGGTGATTAGTAGTGTAATTTAGAATCGAACTGGATTTAGATTGATCAGTCACATTATTTTAAGTAGCCTATGAAAGTGATCAATTAGCAGCAAAGTTTCGAACATTAGTTTGATAGAATGCGCATTTAATTTTAGATTGTCATTACGAAGATTAACTAGCATAACAATTAGTTTTTTTTATAGATTTTAGAAAGTACTTTTTGATTTTTTTTTTAGGAATTTTAAGATTTTATTTGCGTATTTGCATATTTATTTCGTACTGTATACAAGGCCTCCTTAATGTCGCATTGATATTGATATTGAGTGAAAATTTCTAATAAACTACTTGTAGTTGATAAATGAAGACGTTAAGTATCGCCCTGTAGAAGTATTTTCTTTTTCGGAATCGATACTTTCTCGATTATTTCAGGTACGATTGCGTTCACATTGATTTTGGGAAAGTATTTCATTCGAAACACTTGTTAAAACCGTTTTGTCGGCTTGTTACTTTTTAGGGATAATACAAAAGGCAATTATTGTGAATGTTTTTCTTATAAAGTAGTAATTAAGATTGCCACACTATAATTAGCATTTTGCGAATTTGTTATTAAGCTACATTGCATCCTATATTATATAGTTTGGTTCTCTTAATAGTGAAGAGTTTTTTTAGCTTTTAGAGTAGAGGATTACGTACTAAAAAAAAGTATCTATTAAACCGAATAGTGTATCTAATGAATAACAAAAATATGAATATTGTTTTTCGTGAAAATTTTGAATTATTCGCCAACGTAATTTCATCACTTTAGTCAAAACGAATGTTGGTTAAAAATTCAAAATTCCTCTCGATCGTTAACGAGAGATTTCGAGGATTCTAAAAATCCATCAAGGATCGCTCGATCGAATTTACATCGAATTTGAGCGATCCTCGACAATTTAGTAAATCCTCGGTTTTTAAAATTCTCCATTTTTATTCTGGTGCAGGAAATCGCAATACATTATTAACCGCGGAATTTTGTTCTTTGCAGGTAACGAAGAGAGCGTTCTGTCGTACGAACCGGTGCAACAGTTGCACATTAATTATACCAGGCCGGTCATTATATTAGGTCCGCTGAAAGATCGCATCAATGACGATTTGATATCGGAATTTCCGGATAAATTCGGCAGTTGCGTACCGCGTAAGTACCTAACATTTATACACAACACCGGCGAATTTAAAGGAACAGATTAAAAAATGTAATCCGTGTACAAGAAACCCATCGCTTATCCCAAACTATCTCTTCTTTACTATCTGTACGAGTGGTGGTGTGTACTAGAAAGGGAGCGATAGGTCTACTGACCATTATACATCGTCCCTATTTGAAATACACACCGGCAAATTTAAAGGAACAGATTAAAAATGTAATATATTTCTATATTTTATTGTCTTATAGTCTATATCTAGATAGCTATCAAGGTTTTGTGTCATCATTAAAGTTTTTAATGTCAAATGTGGGCGTTGTCTGTTGAAAAAAACTTCAAAAGTTTGTTTTGTGTCTTACATTTCAAACGCGTGTTAACAGAGATAACAATAAATTGTAATTAATTAATCAGTTTAATTTGTTCGGATTTGTTCATATTGTTTTTTATTTGTTATCATCAATTTTGACTGTATTGCAAAGAGTAGCTAATAATGGGTGACTTAATACCGACTAATATTGCCAAAAATGAATTTAATTATTAAAATAACTTCAAAATGTACAATAAAGTTATTCTGTTTAAAACCAGTATTTTATTTCAAATCTGACATCTTCGACTTGCTCACTTCTTCAACAGGTTGCACATGATAAATTTTTGTAAAAAGTGCCCCAATTACTTCACCTAACTTTGTGTTAAGAAATTATAACAATATGTATTTCATAGAGTAACTTATTGGATTTTATATCAGTTCCTTTAAATATGCCGGTGTATGTGTGTGTGTATTATCAAGCAACAAATCTCTAATAAATTAATTAAATGTAGATACCACGCGGCCGAAACGGGAATACGAAGTGGACGGTAGGGATTATCATTTCGTAGCCTCCAGGGAACAAATGGAGAAAGATATCCAGAATCATCTGTTCATTGAAGCCGGCCAGTATAACGATAATTTGTACGGTACTTCGGTGGCATCGGTGCGAGAAGTAGCCGATAAAGTACGTATTAACAATAGTACTCCACAAGAGTTAAGAAAGTTTACAAATATTGAGATTAATTTAAAAGTTGCAGGTTTATTTGATCGCCAAATTTAGTATGAGTTGTAGAGGTAGGGACAAAAAAATCGGCTCAGGTATGAGAGAAAACATTTAATTTCGCGTATTTGAAAATTTGGTGATCAAAAAGTCTGTAACTTTTGTGGAGAAATTTATTTCTCTAATACATTAAGTATTTTAATTCTTATACTTTCAGGGTAAACATTGTATATTGGATGTGAGCGGTAACGCGATAAAGAGATTGCAAGTAGCTCAATTGTTCCCTATCGCCATATTCGTCAAACCGAAATCAGTGGAATCCATTATGTGAGTAATAGTTTTTACATTTTATAGTCAGTATTCGCTTGCTATGTCGAAATGGGCGCGGAAAATCCGGTTTATCACCGGGAAGAACACTTTTCCAGGTTTCGAAACATCGATTTTCCGATCGGGCATGTCCGTTTACGTAGGATCAGCTACTTTTCTCTAATGAAAATGACGAATTGCAGCCTTAAAAAATACACCAATGACTCGGTGAATGAATGAATGAATGATTGAATGAATGATTGTCTCCTACAGTTGTGTAATTATAGTAATGTAATGAATTATTAATTTGTTTTATAACGCGTTACCTATGATTTACAGGGAAATGAACAAGAGAATGTCAGAGGAGCAGGCAAAAAAGACCTTCGAAAGGGCCGTTAAAATGGAACAGGAATTTGGAGAGTATTTTACAGGTGAGTTTTTTCCAAATCGTTTGAAACCACTCAAACCTACATCTACTCTAGTACTGTTAGAAGAATAGACTTTGTAATAATATCTTATGTTGTTTTAGCGGTGGTCCAAGGAGACACCCCCGAAGAAATATACAATCAAGCAAAGGATGTTATCAACGAGCAATCAGGACCAAACATTTGGGTACCGGCTAAAGAGAAACTGTGACCTTTGGCCCCTCCCGTTTGGACGATGCCAGCTCGTCCATCTCGGCTCCAGAGAGTCGATTAAAAGGAAATTTAAATCGCCTCCCCCATCCCCTCATACCTGTTAATTGTTCTTATTGTTCGGTAAAAAAAAAGTATATGAATGAATCTATAAGTCAAATCGTAAATGTTTCGCGATCCCTTTAAAATTCCCACCTTTTAAATCGTATAAGAAGTTCTGTAGTTAAGGAGGAACAAAGGACTTGTTAGTACCAATAGACTTTTTTTTCCTCTTTGGAGGAAACACTTGCAGTGCTCGCAGTGGAATCAATGACAAATGTACGAGTTGATTCTAAGATGTTGCATGTCGCAGCGATGCTTTTCGAATAAAATGCAATCAAAGAATCTACTCGAATTATTAAATTTACTATAAATATATTAATAATAAATAAAAAAAACCCAGCGTGTATAGATTTACGGATGAAATTTAATATTCTCCGAATCGTCCCCACTCGGTCTCCTCTTATCTATCTCTTCTACTCCCCCCTTACCCAATATTTATTTTTTTGCACTTAACAAATAAATAATTGAAATTTATTAGCGAAATTTTATAATATTTAATTGTTATCTCTGACGAATAGGTAGTTTTATCGATGTTTATTTGTCGGTAGCGAAATGAATATGTACGATATATTTCCAAAATGTAATTGAAAAAAAAACTCGTGAGTTATATAAGAAATGATGTATGAATTTATAAAATAACTAAACAAAGGATGTAAATACACAAAATTTATCTGTGTAGAATTGACAGGAATATGTTATGATTATTATATTATTCGAAAAAGTTGTCATTTAACTTATTTCAGTTAATAAATAAAAGTTTTAATAAAAATGCCCCTTTTATTAAAATGTGCCAATTAAAAATAACGTCAAAATGCCTTTATTACAGTAAAATAAAGGTAGAAAAATATTACATTACTTTTGTCGATTTTGTAATAAATTCCAATAGAAATGATGGACAAAACCGTCAAACAGTGTCCTACATTTGTTTTAAGTGGCCGAATAGCCACAGTAGCTGAGGCCAAAATCCGAAAAGAAGAAGATGGTAACAAACAGTTTCCTACAATTGGTTTAATATTAGTTCGTCGATAAATTATTAGATGGCGCCACGTGCGTTTACAAATTTTAATAAATAGACATGTCGGCAGCCGGAGCGCTCAGTACCTCCTTTGCCACGGTAGGGGTATGTTGCTCTGCTTGAAGGAAAAATATGCGCAGGATTTTCAAAGTCCTCATCTTCATAAAGGAGCATCGTAAATCATGGATGTTGGTAAAATTTGTTGCTCCACCGTCCTCCCCCACCGGTGCCACCCTTTAGCTATACTTTCTTAAGTAACCTAGGCATACGCTAATGTACGCGATCTGTTGCAAAAAGTTTTGGCGCCATCTAATGCATTTTTGTTGAACCAATATTCGTTGTATGTATAATTAATACATCGACAACCAATATTTCATGTATTAAAATTTATAAATGCATTATTTTTACCAAATTTTTCAATAATCTCAATAGAAATACCTTTTTATATAAATCCCGTTAATATTTTATATGTTTTAATTAAAAATAACAATATTTCTGTGTAAAAATTTATTTTCTAAATAGAATACAACAGGCTAAAATAAATGTATCTCACAACAATATACTCATAGACAATTTACAATGTGTTATGATAAAGAGCAGTAGTAGAAACGTTCATTTAGGGTATTATCTATGGGTCAGTATATCTAGCTTTATCCGTAACATATACAAATATAACGCGGTTTTTCCCACATACGATTTTACCGGATTTTTAATATAGTCCATTAGTAAATCACTTCGTACACGGTGGCTTTCTTGTCCCCTGAACCGGTCACAATTTCCGTACTTATCGTTGGAGAAGGTCCCAACTTGGCACTTGAAGATTCTTTTGACTGGAATAGAAAAATATTAAATAAATATCTTTGTTATAAATTAGTATTATAGTTAATTCTAAATGATTTTATATGCCTTTTGGTAAATAAACAAACTAATTTTGATAAGTAATATTAATTACTACTAATAAATAACTAATTACTACTATTACTTACTAATTTGGACAGTAATTTGATATTAGTAGTGTAGTAGTAATATAAGTAATTTTACAAATATTTTATTACATTAAATATTTATTTTTTTATGCAAAACATTTTTTAGTGTGTATATTTATAGAAATTCGAGATTTTCAACACGTCAAATTTTAAATGGGAAGTATAGGCTTGTGATATATCTTTTGAAAGGTCTTTTCATTATCTATCCAAAAATGGTATGGTTTTCAAGTTTATTTCAAAAATATTTTTACTTCTCTAATAAAGGTATGATGTTTGTACGTGAAGTGTTTCCTTTCTAGAAATCTTACGCTGTTTGCGAGTTTGTAAATTATCTCACATTCAAGGCAAAAAAAGGTCAGGACAAAACCTTATTGAATTTAATTAAAACATCCTCAAGATAACGCGGATAACGACGGATAAAGTGTATAATAATTATTACATTTATACAGTTAAACTTGTCTGTCTTGTTGAACTCATATGTAAATATATAATTATTTTTTCCTGTAAAAGAAACATTCTACGACCCGTTAAATGTAAACTACCTACTCTAAAATTTAATCAAAACTAATACAATTACCATTGATAAAAAACATTCAAATTTTCACCTGTTGCCTTAAATAACAAAATTACAAAAAAAAACCCCGGTAAGAACATAATTTGAAATTCTAATGAAATATTTGAGTATTATTGTGTTACATTAATATGGAATTTTCCTAATTTATGGAAAATTTAAATTGGGTTTCTACATTCCGTATGCAACTACATCAGACAGAGATAAATCTCAATTTTTGGACAGAACAAAAAGACCTGAGAGCAACACTTGTAATGGAAAAGAAAATAGTTTTAATAGTTAATAGTTTGAAATATGATTATCTTGTAATTATAATGCATTTATTGGTAAGGGAACAATGAACTGGTGTTGCAATGCATAATTTGCACATTCTTATAATCAATTAACTAATTTTCGAGGTTCATCGTTCTTTTAGCTTTAAATCAGCAATATTACAAATTGCTGGACTCTTTACCCGAATAAAAGTCCATAAGCTTTTTGCATACTATTCTAAATTGTAATGTGATGGTAAGGTGCACGTAAAAGCAATTCTACCCAGTTTACCCTACTCGAAAAATTTTTATTATTACAAGTATACTTTTAAAGAAAAGCCAAAAGTTGTATCGTCAAAATTGATTACAAAAATCAAATGTCAAGTAAATTACACGATTCGAAGGTCGAGTACACATTAACTTTTACTTGTAAAAAAATCAAATTCTTTTATGTGCACTTACAAGATATTTGAAATTTGTAACGATTACACTTTATCTATGTTATTCCTTACGTTTTAACAGGTTAAGAAATTACCTGCCTATTAAATTACTATCGGGAACTATAACTCAAGCAGGCATTGAAACAATAAAATTGAAAGTTAGGACGTCAGTGAGTTTACGCACTTCTTATATCCCACTACGCGTTTTTGCGAATTTATTAATAATTCATGATTTAAAATATATGTTTGGGTTAAAAATATCAAAATAAACTAAATACGTAAACACAATTCACTGAGTTAATCAAAAAAATACTCAAAATAGTTGGATAAAAGAACATACAGTGTGAATATTTGAAAATTTACAACGGGTTGTATCTCACAAACCACACTTCCGAAATTGCAATAAACAAATATTGTTTAGAATAACACCTAATAATATTCAAAACAAACAAACCCTACTTGTTTTACAACGTTAACAATCTCTAAAAGCCAATAAAACCTTATTTTCAATAAGTGTCTGTAGATACTTTTTTTTGTTAAATAAATATCTTCATTTGTGTAATTACACAATTACATTTACAGTAATTTACATTGTTTCTAAAATTAAGCAGATTTTTTTACTATAAAAATCATCAAAATTCATAATAATAAAACTCGATTTTATATCGTTTCCAATACCCCCTGTATAACTCACGTAATCCCAATTTTTCGTAATCACTTCCACCTTTTTACCCGCGCTTATCGCCCGTTCGAGCGACCATAAAAAAAATCAAATATCTCAAAATGCTCGGAAAATTTCACATGCATATATCTTTTACGTGTTAATTACCGCAAACTATCACCAGCTAATCCATTAAAAAATCGTAGCGGATATTCAAATAGAAGCGGATTTTTTTTCGCAAAAAAGAATTCGGCGCGTAAATAGGGAATGCTCGTGCCCGGCGTATATAATAAGAGAGCCGGGGCTCGTCCGGCGGACATCAATTGAGACTCGATGGACTCCCAATATTTCATCGCTTCCTGCGAAGAGGGCAAACAGGTCAAGTGCGAGCGAAACAGCAGGTGGTTCGTGTACTTTTGCAGCCTTACCGGTGAGTTTTTTGTTCGATTTTTTGTGGGTTTTAATATACAAGGTGTTCCTAAATATCGTGCACATACGAAAGGGGGTAATTCTTTGGCTTATTTCATGATTGAAAGTTCATATTTCGCTTCGTTACGGATCTGTAGGGTGTTGAAATTTCGAGGTTTTTTCTTGGGCTTTTCTTTAGTAGAGTTTCTGCAGTTTTTGAGATATTTAGCTCAACTTGACTGCTGAAAAAAGATCACCCTGTAGAATTCAACAACCATCTGGGATACCCGATAAGTACGGCCTATACCGCAATCTAGATTCCAAATTAGAGCTAAATATCTCAAAAACTTTCGGAGGTATAACAAAAAAATAAGAAATATTTTGAAATTTCAATACCCTGTACGAAAGGGTAGGATGAAAAGTTCTCGGGCTGATACACTGAGGGCGCTCCAATCGACAATAATTTTTGTTTTCTCTTTGGGATATTTCTAATTGATTCTAGAGCTATCTAGAACCGTTTAGAACGATTCAGAAACATTTAAAATTATCTAGAACCATTTAGACAGCTCCATGTTTAGGAACGCCCTGTATACTCTGTAGTCTTTTTGAGACATCCAATTACTATTAAATAAAGTTATTTCGTAAAGTACCTTCATAATTCATTCATTTCAAAGTTATTTTTAAGTTATTTTTCTATCCCCAAGGTTGATAATTCCAAAATCATTTTTTTCCAAGGGAAGTTAATTAATTTACATAGCAATTAATCGTAACATTGACACGTGAATTCGTTGCGTAAATTTCAAAATATCCAAAATTTTGTATAAAGTGTGTAAAAAAAATTTCATAAAAATATCTGGAGTAACAAGAAAATTATGATAGTATTTAATATTGTAGTATTTAACTACATCATTTAAATACAATATTAGGTACCTGAATTGTTATTTACCATCAAAGTTTATATAAATTCCTTTGCCCTTATTGGAAACGAACTTATTTTAAATTAAATTCCGATATATTTAAATACATAGCTAAATACTTTAGAATAAAATGTATTTAACTACGTATTTAATTACATTTTTTACAAGTAGTTGTAATTGTAGTTAACTACATTATACAAAGTAGTTTTAACAACACTGACCATTTCGGTACAAATAAAACCGACTCATCAACTCACCATCTACTTCCACAGCCAATCTTCTAGCGGTGTCGTTCGGCTTCTCCGTATCCTGGCCATCTTCCACCATACCGAAGCTTCAATCCGCCGACGACCGAGTGAATCCCCTGGGAAACCCTCTAACGACCGTCGAAATCTCCACGTTGGCCGCCCTGCCGTCCGTAGCGGGCTGCCTCGGCCTCTACTTCACCCCTCTATTGACAGACAACCTAGGCAGAAAGAGCACCCTAGTGACAATCAGCACCGTCGTGGTACTATCCATGCTATCCCTAGCGTTCGCCCGTGAAATTTACCTCTACTACATCAGCTTGTTCGTAAACGGATTCTGCACCAGCTGTCTGATGGCTGTCGTATCGGTGTACAACACGGAAATAACAGATAACAATAACAGGGGTAGAATCAACTGCCTGATGGGGGCGTCGGTACCATTTGGAGCGATTTTAGTGTATCTTTCTGGTAGCGCGAGCGTAAGAACCATTTGTATCGTCGGTACGATAACTCCTGCGATGTTTCTGGTGTTATCGATCTTCCTGCCGGAGACTCCGATGTACTTGTTAACATCTAAAAAAGACAGCGAGTGTTTAAAAGCGTTGCAACGCCTAAGAGGCACTAAAAACGTGGAGGAAGAGTACTTACAGATGAAGAGAAATGTCCGACAAAGCGATAGTAAAAAGTGTATACTGGACGTGTTCAAAACGAGAGCTTCGATCAGGAGCTTCGGCTACACGATGGAGCTGTTAATGACGCAAACGTTCTCCGGTATATTCGTGTTGGGGGCTTTTATGGGGCCGATATTCGACGAGGCCGGTGCTTACTTGACTGGTAACGCGATCGGGGTGTTGGCTGGTGTTGTACAAATCGTGTTTGTTGTAGTGGCTTCGTTGTTCGTCGAACGATTGGGCAGGAAACCGTTGTTGTTCGCTTCGATGGGTTGTTGTGTAGGTTGCCTAGCCGTTCTGTCGGTGTATTTCTATCTGAAGAGCCTCGATTCGATGTGGATAGAGCGCGTCAAATGGCTACCTGTTATAATTGTGATAATGTATTATATTAGTTATAGTGTTGGTGTAGGACCTGTACCGTTTGCTTTGGCCTGCGAGTTGTTTTCGAACGAATTGAGGGCAGTGGGTTTCTCTACGGCGCTTATCCTTTCGAATGCCATTATATTTGTGACGTTGTTCGCTTTTCCTTTGATCTCCGAAGCGTTCGGTGTGCATGTGAATCTGGTGATTTGCTGCGTTCTTTCGGTGATCGTTGGCTTTTTGATACATCGCACGGTGCCGGAGACTAGAGGGAAGAGCCTCAATGAAATCCAGAAAATTCTATCCGACTGAAACGGTTTCGAACGTGTTAAATGTCTTGGTTTTATTTGTGTATATCATTTCGTTAGTATAGAGTATTTATTGTACATGATTTTTGTTACATTTTGTAAATATTCATTTGTAATTACTTTGTGTGTTGTTACTGGATGATTCTTGCCCCGGAATCAGGAATTATTAAATAAATTATGTGAATAAAATTATTTAAAACATGACACTTGACACTTAATTTCATAGGTTATTTTCTTCTTTTCCTATTGACATGTGGCCTCGATCATTCAGATGATGTGTTATTTGTTTTTTTTTTTGTCAGTCGGGATATGGTGGCTGTTTTACTTTAATGATAAGAGGCCCTAAGCCTATCTCAAGGTGAGATGGGGGGAATTGGGAATAGGATAGATTAGCAAACATTGTTGTGCAACACTTTTAAATAGCTACTTTGGGAAGTGCAAAAATAGCAAGTACAATTAATACAAAAATACATTAAAACTCGAATGTCATGAAAAAAGTTATTATGGAAAAGGAAATAAACATTTTCAAAATTCCCATTTTATTTATACCATATACCTATGCCATATCATTTTCTAATTCATACCAATTATTTCATGCATATTCAACTAATGCAACAAAATGCGACATTTTAATAAGTTAGGAATGGATACAAATAAGTCATTTCTCTTGAACAAACATCCGGAAATTGACTTCCTCGCCGATCAAATCATCAATGAAAGCTAAATCGATTTTCGTATCTTGCTTTCCGTCTATCATATTTTTAGAATACCACAACCGATTATTACAGTTTGTAGTGCCAAGAACATCCACGACAAAACAATACTTGGAACTTTCTTCTAAATAACCATCTATCAATTTAATGGAAAATCTGAAGGAACTATTTTGAAACGAAAAATTCAGTTTAAAAAGTTTAGAAAAGTATTTCAAATAGAACACATCTTCATATATTGTAAATCCCTCAGCGAACGAAAATGGGCACGAGATAATGCTGCCGCCATCATACCAATGTTCGTTATGTTCCTTGTAAATATGACCCGAAAGGTCCATGTTCAAGAGTTTCATCTCACACCCGTACAATTCTTTGAAAGGGCAATCCGTTTCGATGAAATTACATTTCTCCTGATGCTCTTTCATCACTGCTCCTTTACCAACGAACGAGCATTTCTCGTATTTGCAGGGAAACTCGAAATCCGAAACCACACCTTCCAGGTTGTAATTTCTTTTAGTTAGAATCTCCGACTTGCACGTAGGGCATTCTTTGACATTGTCCTTGCAACGATCGCATATGCTGTGACCTGTTGCGCATAGGTAAATTGATGCCAACATGTAATCCATGCATATCTGTAACGAATAAAAATGTTAACGACTGCAGGAGTACTATATTTATACTTACAATGCATTCGAAGTGCCTTAATAACCCAGAATTCGCGTTTTTTATATCAGAATCTTTGATTGGTTCCATTTGGAATACCTCGATACTCGCCAAAACCGCAGTAGGATTCTTCAATGTGGCATTCACCGCCGTTATATTAATACAAACAGTATCGTTCAAATCGCTGTAAACCGTGTGGTTGAATTGCTTCCCGCTATCTTCGAATATAATTTTATAATTCATATTATCATCGACTGGCTCGTACCCGAGTTTCGTAACAGTGCACAATAATATCTTTTCGTTCCCGGAACAACGGTAGTTAATCAAATACACACCATCCAGGTAGGGCATTAATTTGATCTTGTTGTAATTGTTTATGAAATCTACTTCGAAGCAACAATCGGTCAGCACGTCCCCGGGATGTTTGCTTTCCGTGTGCTCCAAAATTTCACCTGCGAATCCTGCAATAATCATTTACTTAAATTATACAGGGTGTCACACTGTGACTGTGACAATTACACAGGGTGTCTGGGGTCTCACGCTCACCTTTCCACTCATCGGGGCACTCGAAGGGACAAGTGAACGTTTGGAATTTGCATTGCAATTCGTGCTTGGCAACGTTCTTGGGCAATAGAATTTCTAGGCAGCCGTTTGACTTGTAGCAACATGGAAATAGAACGTTTTTGGCGAGCTCTTCATAGAATTCGCACCGGAAGCTGCAGTTTCTGTACTTTTTGGGGGTCCCATGACGGCCGCATGACGGGCCCGCTTCAGTATTGTAAATGGGAAAGTAAGATAGCGGTTTTTTGCAGACGAAACAGGGCATTTTCGGCAGAGAATTATCGGGAAGGACGTATCTGTAATGAAACGTTCACTTAATGATTCGTTTGGTTAATAAATACGAAATAGTAACTTACCTGCCCGTCATTATACATATTTACTTACAAACTAATAATTGATAAGATAAACTCTACATTCACAAACTACTTATTTATAGATAGCCCACTCCCTGTTTTTAAAATGTTCATTTAAGAGGTTCGTTGAGATTTGGTAACCCAATTTTAGTTGGCAACAATGAAAATAAGCCCGATTTTTCGGTGTACAAATCTCAATTTTTGATATAATCTAATCTAATCTAATTTTGAGATATAATATGAATCGCATCTGATAGAGTGAACCTTCCTGTAAGTCATAAAGGTTTTTTTTACAGATCAATGCAAAAATAACGAAATTACAAGCGTTTGAAAGTAGACATTTTGCTAAACAATTCTGCAACGCGTCTCGGAACTATTATGCAAAAGAGCGGGAGATGGTCAATTTTAAATATGTAATATTAATTTATTAGCAATAAAAGATTGACCCTACGGGTTCTACAATATGAACGAAACAATTTACTTAATAATAATTTTTATTTCAGAAATATCGATTCTACGGTTGCTTCTATATTTGTTTTTCAGTAAATTGCAAACTTCATTTATAACTAATTACTATATCGATCATTTTAGTTCATTTTTAGTAAATCCTGGGGTACATTTAACCTTTGATTTTAGTCGTTTTGTCCATTCATAAACATCCCATTATTAGAACGATACATGTTCGACAGGTTAAGATCCTTTGTCGTCTTATTCTTCAAGTGATTAAAAATACGTACGAGGTTTTTTTTATTGACATTCGAAGCGAAAATTAAAGTATTTCCCATCAATTTTCGGTTCAATGCACACGCATCGAAAAGTTTCTGTTCGATTTAATTACTACTAATAAAATAATTTGAATTTTTTTGTGTGGTACAACAGGAACTTTTCGACTTTTCACTCTATAGAAACCAAGAAGATAATAAAATAAATAGTATGTAACAAGTAATACAATATTAGAATGGAACGTAAAATAAAGAGTATTATACAAGGTGTAGCAATTAAAATTAATTTACAAATTAATCTAACAAGCTTATCGATATCTAAGTGCTATTACATTACAATGCATGATTGAAACTGGTTACATTCAGATTTAAAAACTTTTTCAACATTATTTGTGTTATTTTTTAGTTAAATGTTTAGCTCAAAAAAATTATATACTATCAATAGTTCGTTGTGTGATGTGCAATGTATACTCTACAAATTTCATTAAATTTTTTACACACCTTGTATAGCACTAAACGTTACCTTTTTAATCCTAGATAAAATCCCGATAATTTATCATCCACAACATTAGATTGTAACAATTCCATTTAACTTCAATGATAACCCAATGCTATAGTTATCCGAATATTACCTAGAAGTAAAAAAATGTTCTCTTGGAATGATTGAACTGTAATCGAATAAACTAGAATTATTATCAACGCAACAAAAAGATTATTACAGTTTAGATAGTTAAATATTAAAATTAAAAATCGGATAATTCTCCATCCGTTTGCGATAATTTACTTTAATATTCAATAAATATACTTGTAGTTACCTAACAGAAACAAACATAATCCGGGGCCGATATTTTCACCAACGGATAACAGAATTTATTCTTACCCTTTGGATAAGTTTATCCTACGTATAAACTGCGCTCTCCAAACGTGAAAAAACCAGCCCTTAATCTACCTATTTTTACTATATATTTTTTTTAAATATTGAACGGTCATTTAAACTATATTATACCTAAAAAACTGATTATCACATGAGGTTAAAAATAAAAATAAATACGATTTGTTATCGATTCATATTTTAAAAATGCTAACGTAGCATTTAGAATGTTAACGTGTAAAAACAATTAATAAAATTTTTGGAAGTAAATAAAGGGCACGTCGGCGTGTCAAACACACTTACATATACAGGGTGTACCAGATATGAATTTAACTGGTGACGCCTTGTATATTTTAAACATCGGGTTTAAATAAACGTACGTACATAGGCAAACCCTCGGTACATAATACAAACTAACCGAATATACAAATTATATTTTTATATTCTATGAGCACTTGTTTATTCCTTTTAGAAAATCACATTATATAATAATTACATTTATAATACTTCAGTTGTATTGCTGTTGTTGTTGTTGTTGTTTTTTTTTTGTTTAGGAAACCAATCTTAAGTTTCTAAATGTTTTATTTACAATGTTGTGCGTTGTTTATACAAATTTACCTACATTTACCCTATTTAAAATTTCATGCTGTGTTATATCCGAATTCCCTGTTAAGAATGTCCAGTTTTCGATCACATTTAATTTAATTGGATATTTAGATAAAAATCATCCGGGGTGTGTATATATTTAAAGAAGTTGAAATTCACTTGCTTTTTCGCACTAATTCGACTAACAAAGCGTTCATCAAAATTCGGAAATTCTATGAGACGAGCGGCAAACAAGCTATTCGCGAAGAACAATATATTGCAAGCGCGTTTTATTTTTTTATTATTATTCAATATTTAACGGAATGATACACTTGTCGCGATGAGGCGCCGTTTACACGTGCAAATCCGCGTAATTTATTGCTAAAACTTAGGGCACCGTGTTAACGTATTGCGTGTGTATCGATTTATATTTTTGGGTACTTTTTAATTTACTAATGGTATATTTCCCTTATTTATACGCCATTTGATTCGACCCCAATTTTTCTAATGGAGTTCAATAAATCCGGATAATAGAGAATCGGAACTGATAAATAAGGGAATAAATCCATTTCCATTTAGAAATTTACGGCAGTCTAGAGGTTGAAATACACAATTTTGAACATCTTAAATTCTAGACAAACATTCCAAACGTAAACGTATCGCGAATCGATTAAACGCAATACGTTTACGTGAAAAAAAAAAACCAAAATACATCCGTAACAATTTCGGGCATTATCGCGTCGTATAAACAACAAACACAATCGAAGAACGATGTCTATCCAAGAAGTAGTAGTAGCAGCAGTTATAGTAGTTAGTAGTAGTAGTAGTAGTAGTAGAGTAAATAGAGAAAGCGAACCGTTCTAAAAGTTCTGGTACGATGATCCCGAGTCGTCCGGATAGTAATCTTCCTGTCAGTAGACCCACGAGACCGGTATCCACTGCGGGGCGGTCTGGACGTGTTCGATGGCCGATTCCAAAGCGGCTATCGTCTCGTCGATATCGTTATTTATTATAGTTAAATCGAAGTAGTGGCCGTACGCGTGCCGAAGCATATCAGATTCTTTCGCTAATCGCTCCAAACTACCGTCGAACTGCAAAATCACACATTTACAATATTATTAGCTTTCGAAATATTGTGAAATAGCAGGACAAAAAAGTATGATAATCGGAAGTGTTATCGCTCACTATGAATTCTCGTTTCTTTTTTAATACACCCATCCACGTATAGCGATAGTAAAGGAGCGAAAGAGTTCGTGGTCCGCCCATTATCATACTCAAACTAAAATGAATCAACCTGTATACATTAGAAGGTTTCGCTGTCTTTTTCTCGCTTGTGTTATTTCTATTATGAAAACCACGGTAGTATGTAACAGGTCAGGAAACTCTTAAGTGTTGAGTATGATGTGACTCTCGACTGAGGGCGCTAGTATCAGTTAATGTTGTTTAATCGTAGGCACACAACGCCACTTTTCCTTCATTCCAACATTTTAATTTCTATATAATTTACGACCATTTTAATTGCAACACAGGCTACAAGAACTTCAAAATTAACCCCAACCCGACACTAGCGTTCCAAGCGGATTCCTCACGAACCTTCGACCCGAAGTTTCCAGACCTGCACGTGAGACGATTAGAAGCTACAACGTTTTGAGGTACACTTACATCTGCTATGTTTTGCAAAGCGGGCGCGGCGATGAACACAACATATGGTGAGAACTCAGCTGTACGCAGCACTTTGAGCGCCTGCGGTTCCACGTCGAGTATGGCTATTTTACCGTCCTGGTGGATCCTGCGGATCGTGTCCAATTTGGTGCCGTACATCGCGTCCTCGTGCGTACCGTACTCCAGGTACTCGTTGGCCGCGATGTCGGCCATCATCTCGTCGTGCGATACGAAGAAGTAATTGCGACCGTTCTCCTCGTCCGATCTCGGCTGTCTCGTTGTATCTATACCAAAAAAATAAACCAAATAAACTAGTACTTCCTCTGGGGGAAGAACCCCAGTGAATCGTTTCCTCCTCAATTGCCACGGCAATTTTTAGAAGCCAAGGTCTTACGAGATAACTCGTAATTCGGCGCACAGAATTATCTGGTAGATTGGCAGTTAGAGGGTTAACACCCTGTTTGGGTGAAGGTGAGTAGTACTTACGCGGTATCGGATAGGCGTATTGATCGGGATGTTTGGCGATGAGGGTGTTTTTGATGTGCCTCCTGCCGACACCGTGAGCGCCGAGTAACACTAGAGTTTTCCTTTGGAAAGCTGGATCAGTCACTGAAAACGAACGGTTACGATGGTATACAAATTTTATACGTTTTTTACACAGTTCTGAATGGTTCTGGAGCGTTCTAAATGGTTGTTATAGACAATTCTAAACGTTTCTGCAGACATCTTAATGGTTCTAGATAGGTCTTAATGTTTCTGGAGGTCCTAAATGGTTGTAGACCATTCCAATTGATTGTGGAGCGTTCTAAATGATTGTAGACAGTTCCAAATGATTCTGGAGCGTTCTATATCGTTGTTATAGATAATTCTAAATGTTTCTGCAGAAATCTCAATAGTTCTAGATAGGTCTAAATGTTTCTGGGGGTCCTATAAATGGTTGTAGATAGTTTTAAATGATTATGGAGCGTTCTAAATGATTCTGAAGCTTTCTAAAGGGTTCTGGAGTGTTCTAAATTATACTAGACAGTTCTAAATGGTTCTGTAGCGTTCTAAATGATTGTAGACAGTTCTAAAGGTTTTTGAAGTGTTCTAAATAGTTAGAGACAGTTCTAGATGTTTCTGGAATATTGTAAATGGTGCTAGACTAGAATGGTTCTGAGTTCTTTGGACAAAACCTTGTAAACAAGTGTTAGTTGAGCTTGAGCAGCGTGGAGTTTTTAACGTTAGAAGTACTTACTAGGTAATTTAACAACTTCCTCGTACGTAACTAAATCTAATTGGTCGAAAACGGCATTGTGCTTGGCCAAATACTTGTCCTTGTACTGTTTCTTCTTGCGGCCGAATATTGAGCAATTCACTGGAATAGAAAAGAAAACGGCGGTTTAGCGACGGCGGCGCGATTCGAAAATATTCCTTTCCTCATCGCTAAAAAAACATTGTGAAAAATAAAACGGTGCCGGCGAATGATTAGCGAAACGTTAATAAAATCGAGCGCTTTTAACGTCGAAACGCTAATTGCTAGGTAAATTGGCGAGTCGTTTTTAATTAGATGGCCATCTTGAATTTCAGCCCGGGATGTTCGAGGTAAAAGAACAAACGTCGCGGAACTTTTGATGTTTCTCGATACGAGAGCTGCCGCGTTCGCGTGGATGTTTCGAAATTAACGGCACTTGACGAAAATCTAAATTAACGTTGACGTTTCGGGAAAAACGAGAAAAGGAATATTGTAGAAAATAAAATGTATAGGCGCGTTAATGAAGCATCCATCATTAGGCGTTAATGTCGGTAATATTTAGAGGAATATCAATTACATTAATGACAAAGCATGCATGCATTCACATCTGATATTTTTTATAATAAAAAATTGATGGTTTTAGAGCACACGAAAAAAGTAAACCGGGATTAATTGCAATCGAATTAACCCCGATTAAAAAATACCTAATCATGCTCTAATTCGATAAGTACTAAAGTAAATAAAAAAAGGGCAGGATTGAGGTCTTTGAGTTATACCTGTAGTACCATCACAACCATTAGCATGAGAAGAGCATCCTTTTTCCACGTCTGGCATTCAAACAAAAATACAGATCACACCAAATACAAATTTTAGTAGTACGTTTTTTTACGTATCCCGACGTTCCATCACACGACTATTCATCACGGAGACGATTCATCACTTCCACTATTCATCACACCTACTTAAAAAAATATGTAAAATAAAACAAGACTTTTAGGGACAAAATTACCTCATGGTCGTATTCAGATGAGGGTAGAAATTAGTTTTTATTCGTTTTTTGAATTGTTTTATTTGACATTTTTTAAGGAGGTGTGATGAATAGTAATAGTGATGAAATGATCGACGTGATGAACAGTCGTGTGATGGAACGTCGTGGCATCCGTTTCTTTATACCAGCTTTTATTGGCTTTCGTTAATTACATTGTATTAATTGGATTCTGGCGAATGCATTAAACTCGCGCACTAAATTCGTCTCGAAAATGTTGATTTACGATGTGTGTTATTAGATTTCGCACAACACAATGCCACATGAATTCCGGAACGAACATAATGGAACATTAACAATCAGCTTTGGAATGTCTCAATAAAATAAACTTTGCTTGTGCCCCGAAGCGATTCTATTTAAATACACGAGCGATATTCGCGTTCGCTCTTGAGAGAGTCGAATTGTCTATACTAATATATTGATATTCGATATAGCAAATGCTAAAATCCAATTTTTACTTAAGAGACTGTTTTCATTTAACTTTCGGTTATTATGTATGTAGCGAGGATTTCTCGAGGAGTTAATCACTGGGGAAATAATGTATATAGAAACTTCAAAATGAGCTAGCTAATAAATTCAAAGTCGTACGGAAAACTTTAATTTTATGGTGATTTGTTTGAAAAACAAAAGGAAATATTCCATCAGTGATCAATCCCACGAGATATCCGAAATTTACGTTTCTGTTTTAATATTTTCATGCTTATCCCATATACGAATTACATCCGTCGAAATGAAACTTCGGATATACAGGGTGTCCTAATGAATCCTGTATATTTAATTCCTTATTGCACATATATTCGAATTTGCTCGTTTTTATTAAAGCAATTAATTCGTAATTAATTGCGAACGTGACATTACCGTATAATAAATTCTCGAATAATTTACAATCGAACGCGATTGTACATCGACGGAAATAAAATGAAATAGGATAAATGTAAATCTATACGATATATAGGGGAAAATAATCATGCTAAACACATAAATATGATAAAATGCATTTTCCTCTCATTGTCGGAGTTAGAGGTACTTTTTTCATAATTTTTTTTTTCAGAAAAATTTAAGATCTATCATCACGTTTAGACACAAATCAGGCAAAGAGAGCTATAGAAAGTGTGTTATTTATAAGAAACTTATCAAATATTGGTAGTTTTCATGTCACTATTGTGTTTCCTTTATTTTTATCATAAAGAGAATTGTAATTCCATGTAAATTTTCTATCCCTAATAGAGAGCGGTTAGGTGCAATACATTTATTATTGCAAGGTGAAAAGTGCAACAATATATTGCAGTGTGAAAAGTGCAGCAATGTATTGTACTGTGTGAAAACGCTCTAAAGAATCACCCGAAAATTTATTACAAATTCTATCAGAAAACTACAATTGCCACCACTCAGCGGTGTGCCTGAGTGACTGGCCTCGATCGGTCGGTTGCGCTGCGGCCTCGTCCGATCGGGTTTCAGTCACAGGCAGGTAATATTCATACAATGAATTCATCGATTTCCAGTCGTTCTAAGATTGCAACAAAGGAAACACAACGTCACTTTCCATTTAGTACAACGACGTGCCTATACATACTAAACACGATTATCGGTTAGGTGATGTTAATAGGGAAAAATTCTGACGGGCAAATACCTTGTTCCTGCTTCGTTTTTTCCATGGCGGCGCACGCCGCCCTCCATTCCTGCAATTCGGGCGACGGTATGAGGCCTGCACTGCCGGCTGCATTGTCCTTCCTCGCCTGCCACCAGTGATGATCGTCCTTACTTATTATCTAGACACAAACACACACCGATTCGTTAAGTCCCAAAACGAGCAGTTTGTGCGAAAAAATTGAGGGAATTTTGTTTGTATAACGAAAGACAAGACCCCTCTGTCGAGAAGTTCGCGCGATAAAATAAACTTTATGCGTCGTAAAAAAAAACTCCCCGACTCGACAAAACGTCCGAACCAATTTTCTTGATGAACTTTCAAAATTGTATTTAATTTAATTTAATTCGCTCGCCCGTCCCTTTCGAGGGGCTCGACCCGGTGTTTTACGGTAATCTTTATTAACTTTTTTTTTCCTTCGCCGAGTTTAGTGATGTTGTACAAATGTTTAATTCGCTTACTTGTAAAATGTCGCCGGTTTTGAAGGCGATGCCCGCCTGGGCGCACGGTATGAGATCGTCCTCCAAAGGATCGTAATCGAATTGCGCTCTAACGAAAATCTGGAAGAAACAGATTCTGTTTTATACCGCAATCAATTTTTATCTACTCGCTCCGCATTAACTCTATCTATTACCTAACTATGAGTTATTTTTACCGGTCGTAAAGGTGAAAATAAATTGATCGTGAAAACCCTAAGACAACGTTAATACACTATAAAATAAAATGGTACAAAAAAGAAACATACAGCATGCCAACTCAACATTATTACAACACTATATCTAAAAAAAAGTAAAGCACATAACACCGGCACCAGTAAATTGGTACTTACTAAAACTGGCAGAGGTTTAATCCGGAACAACTAGATCAAAAAATAAAATAAATATTCGTATCGGTTGTTTTTTTTTTCTCAAAACTACAACTAATGAAACGGACAACTAATAAAAAAAAAGTAAATGCAAATATTGTACGTATGTTACCTAATAGATCGTAAATCGAACGGATCAAAGCTGAAGCAATTTTAATGTAAAACTAAAAATGCATGATCGAAATTAATAACTGGTCTGATGGAATGTGCTTCACTTTAATAATTGGTAAAATGCGATGTGGAAAATAAATTGAATTGTAAATGAAAATTGAACATATTTCAATTTAATAAAATAAAATGGTATGAGGTATGGAGAGAAATTATCTATTAATTAATGTAGAATTATGTAACTACAACATCTCTTAATGATTTATATAATAATTAATAATAGTATAAAAATAATAGTAGTATTCAAACAGTAATGAAAGTTCAGCCTGTTCTTTTTAAATTTTACGACTTTCGTATGAAAGAAGTACATAAGTACCTCAAAGCCCGTCTTAAACTTCCCATTCCTCATTAAACTGTTTATTTGCTTAATAAAATTAAACGAGATACGGTCGATAAAGCATTCAAGATCGCTTTCTTGGGTATTATTCAAATCGTTCCTAATTAACGGCGACGAATTTGCATGGAAAGCTCCACGATCCAGCTTCTACTGGTGAATTTTTTAATCTTATTATCCGCAAATTCGCCAAAGATATGTCGTTTCGTAAGTGAAAGACCTACACGAAGGAGTGTCGTGTTCGAATGAAATATTCCAAAATTCCTCGTGTTTAATGATGCATTCTCTTATCCTATTCGATAATTAAAATAAAAGGAATTCAATTCTTACCTCACAAGGCGGCGGGGCGCTTCTGTACGACGGTACGATTTTAAACGTCACCGAACCTCGTGCTTCCCTCTGCAACGACACCGAAAATTCGAATTAACAACCAATCCCGCTAATCGAACCGTCCAATTTAGCCGTCCAACAATACTCACGAGAATTTTTTGTAGCGCGTTAACCGACTGGTTGACGACGGGAATCCCATTAATTTCTCTAATTTCATCGCCTACGTGCAGCGTGGCCTGCCGATGGATCATCCCCCCGTGCATTATCCTCGCCACGATGCATTTACCGTCCTCGTTCATCTTCAACGTGATACCCTAATCAACCAAAAACAAAACCACATTTACACCTCCACCTACTCATCAACGAGACTCCGTCAATTGTCAAATGTCACTCGTCAGCTGTCATCTGTCAAATGTCACTCGTCAGCTGTCAATTGTGAGTTGGATACATACCATGGGTTCGTCGGTGTTCTTCTGGAATTGGACCAATCTGACCCTGGTGACGTTTTCCATCTCGATCTCGCCGTTCGGGCCGTCCAGATCGTCGCCGCCGTTGAGGTACGGCAAGAGCGGGGGCGGCGTGACGCGCATGGCGTCCTCGCCGTAGATCTCGTGCGCCACCACATCGTGGGCTTGCAACAGCGACTGCAACAATTAGAAGACGCCTTACAAAACAGTTCCGAGTCGCGCCGGGCGCGTCTCTAGCTACGCGAGTCGAACTGTAAGTACGTTTATTGTGTGTGTACGGGTGCGATGAAATCGGATCGCAGCGGTGGATGTAATAGGTGAAATTAAAACTGCGAGATAACAATTAGTCGAATCGAATTCGTCGGCGCGGTGCGGGATGGAAAAGCCCCGATGGGATAATGGCAGTTTTTTTGTGTCGAAAACGGAATTTTAATGCGGGTTTTCCCGACCGTCGATCGGCCGATTCGTTTTTCGATGCGATAAGGTTTTTATACGCGATCGCTTTTCGTCGATGCGTGTAAACGCCATTCGAATTCGCATATTCCTGATGAATAATATTTTGTTTGCGTCGGTCGGAAAAAATAAAAAGGCTGGTATTATTTTTTTTTCTGTTCGGGTTGTTCTGTGCGAAACTTTATCGAACGAAACGTCAGGAAAAGCTGCCGATGGGTCCTGACAAGAGTTTTATCTATAATGGAATTTAGAGGAAAATGGAGCTTTATCGGCGATCAGGGAAGCGTATTAGTTCGACAATATCGCTTTATTCTTCGTCCCTCTAATCGCCCTTATGTTTGCGAAATACACGAAAATTGTTTTACACCTCTCTGATATTATTACCTAAACAAATGTATAGTTGTATATTCGAGCTTGTGTCGTCATGATAGGATTAATATCGTACACATACAAGCAGCCTCAGAAATGGTATTAAATAAATTTCTTGGGCATAAACTCGGCCCGGATAATATCACTCCTATATAATCTCGACAAGGTTTCATTTCGATTTTACGGCTCTTTCGGCGTTTAAACAAAGTCCAGGGGCGTTTAGAGTTTTAGAGGCGACTCGTAAAAGTGCATGACGTCCTTTAATAAAACTCCAGTCAGGATGATTATCATTTTTATGGTCTTTGTTGGACCGGGTAAATTAAATTTCGCCATTTTTACATCGACCATTTAGATACCAATTAACCACTACAAACCGGTCTCGGCCATTCAAGAACTTTCTAAAGGGAAACTAGAAGGGAAACTACGCGTAAATTCCGGTGTTTATAAAGTGGAAAGAGATATTCACGCATCGTCGGTTTTCAACGTTCGATTCCCCATCGAGAAATCTCAACAATCTAATTGATCTTTATCTTTTCCTTTCTTTACGAAACAAGACACGTTCCGGGTTTTTCTTCTGAACTACATTGAAAGGGAAACACGCCGCTAACGAATCACAACTAATTTATCGGGAAGCTGCGAGATTCGGGGTGAATATCTTATCGCACTTTATCTACACCGTGAATTTATATTTCCATTATCGTTCGTTTCGACAATGAATCGAAACAAAAAAAAGATTCCAAAGAATTTAATCGCCGAAACAGGGGCATAAAATTGATTAAGGGGTGGCCGTATTGTACAAATTTGAATATAAATTACGGCGAAACTGATGAAAAAACGACCGCAAACTGCACTTGAACCAACAATAAATTATTTAAAAGTTTCAATGGGAAATGGATGATTAAAAAACGCATTAAATCCAAGTTTAATGCGAGTTTATATAAATTGTATATGTTTTTAATAAACCCCATCGTCCACTGGTGGTTTGATGAAATTATTTTTTTATCTAAAGCGAGCTGGATTATTATTCATACGCAGTAATGAAATCAAAGCGAAAAAGCCTAAATAACAATAGGATTAAAAACAATTAAAATAACATTGAACCAACGGTATAAAGTTATACAGAAATGTTTGCATGTAATATATTTACAAACATGTATAAAAAATGTTCTCATTCGCCATTTATCACTTTCGAGCGACAATTAAATTAACCGAACCCTCACAGGAAATGCGAAAAAGGAAGTAAGAAAAAAAAACATCTAACGAAATAATCTTTTATGTATAAAGAAAATTTGATTTGGACAAGTCCCCGTCGAATTTATCGAGCGAATTTGACTCGACGTCCGCCGCCGGAAAAGCGGGCTTGTAGGTTAGGAAAATCATGCATAATTCAAAGGGTTCCTCTTTTTCGGGCGCGAAAAGTCAACGACGGGCATGGAAATCCGCGCGATCGGAATAACGCTTTAATCAAGATGCCGGGCGAGATTTTCCGCGCCAAAAAGGAGCCAGTTCGGTGGATTTTCCGATTAGACATGTGCCAACAAATTAATTACTCGCAGAGTAATATTCGCAATTTAATACGGGATAATATAGTTTATTTTAGTTCAACTTGATTTGTATAAATTGCCAACAAATTAATTAATTATAGGCACTATTTAATAAGAGATAATAGAGTTGTTTAAGTTAAATTTGATTTGTAAATATTAGTAACAAATTAATAAAATCACTGTAGCAGAATACTCACAATAATTCGGGATAATCGTTTGTATAAAACCGAGAAATTTATACATATATTATTTTATGTTACAAGAAGCTTGTAAAAAATCTACTTGCTTGCTCATTTGCAACTCTTACCCCATCTACGCCGCCGTATTTACTGATGAATAGGGCGCTCATTAAGTCACTAATTAAAGTTAGTCGATTCACGGTGAGTCATGCAAGGGACTTAAGAGAGACTAACATTATGATAATTACGCGAACTCGCTCAATTCGGCGACACTTGGTAAAAATTAAAAGCGATTTATTCGAGCGGAATTAATTAAAGTTTAACGTATGCTCGGGAAACCGAGATGTGTTTTTTTTATTATTTTTTAATCGAAAACTCTTGGAGCATGTTCCAGCTTTAATGACGAGCCATCAAATACTCGTTAACCAACTAACTCGGACAATGTCGCGTTAGTTGATCGATTGATTAGATAAAAAGTCTATAATCAACAAAGTTTTGTACAAAAATTAACGTTTAACTTTAGTAAAGAGTTAATAATAGAGCTAACACTTTTATAGTAGAATTTATAATGGCAAAATGGATTTATATTCGAAACACATTCACACTAAAATGTCCATCAAACTGAATTTAAATCGCATATTGAATGCCGAATACCTAATCCGCATTAATTCAACGAAACTGCAGCCATTTTTTTCGAATTTATAAAAAATTCGAAAGGCGCAGGGACGGAATATCATTAATCAACTGTATTTTTTCCCACGTGTAATTTACCGGCTATGTTGATGCACACTTAGCTGATTTCGAATTCCCATTTACCTTGAATTGAAGCGCTCCAATCGATAGAAAAAAAAGCTACCCGACGCTTTCGTCCATCAAAAACTAATACTTATTGCACGGAAATTTACATACGATACGCAAAATTTTCCTCTAATAGATGCATCAAAAGCTCATGTAAGTATGCAGTATCGATTTTTTGAAGAGCTCACCGGATTGCAAGGATGTACATACACCGTATTAGTATACAAATGAGCTTATATTTCCACTCGAGGGCACAGAGAAGATGTCATCGTACTTTCACCTAACGAGTTCTTGAACGCTCGGTATTTTCGGTAAAACTTGCGGAACAAAACGAAAACTTCTGCTCTAATTCGGACCCGGTCACACTTCTCTTCAAACGAGCAAAGTTCCACCGATCGTGATCAAAAGTTTCGCACTGTTGACCGGGGCCGTTCGAAAGCGAAAGCCCCTTTTGTATAAACGACCGCACGCCCCAATTTTTGTTGCCCAAGCGATGTTTGCGCCGCACAAACTACTCATTTGGAGGTAACGAAATTTCATCGAATCGATTAACTCTATAGTCGTAGAGAAAGTGTAGCCTGCGACTCGCGATAATATAACTGATAGATCTTCGCTAAAGAATTATAAACGTCCCTTTTAAAGAGTCGAGAGAAAGAAATGGGTCCAAAATCCCTCTTTTAGGGATGATTATTTGATATGCAAATTTTTTTTTTTTTGGCGAAAGAACGCCATTACCGGCCGATTTATTTATTATCGGGGAAATTCGAAGAGAGAGAAAAGCTCGACACTTTGAACAGCGAACTTTTCTTTTGTCCTGATGAATAATAATTCGTCGAGATGAATATTAAGCGGGCGATAATGGAAATTCTCCGGAGCAAAAATTATACAAATACAGGATGTAAAATAATCGAAAAATACAAATACTCTATAGAATTTAGACTAGAATAATATAAGAAATTAATCGTATACTAAATACACTTTTGTATCATTTTTGACTATGTACTTGCACATATTTAGTATGCAATAATGGTACTTGTTGAAAGTTGAAACGAGCAAATCCCTTTTTACCTTGTTGAATAAATAATGCTGTGTAGCTCGTTACCGCTTACTGATTAAGCTCTAATTAGTCAACAAGTTCATAAACTATAAACGGTTAATTAAACTTTTAGCTGAAGCAAAACGGAAAGTGTAAGCCCCATTGCTTCACGAAACGGTTTCGTTTTTCACACGTATTAATTATTTTCTCTATATCGAGGAATTCCCCAATGGTTTCTTCAGTTTCTATACGAAACTGTAATTGAAATCGTAAAAAATTAATGTATGCATTTCTGTCGGCAATAGGGAAGGTAATTTTTAGTACTAAGAACGGAACAAAGAAACAAAAAAGAGTATTAAATATTTTAGAGTCGGTTTAATAGAATTTTCCCGTTAAAGCCGCTCGTTACTAAGAAAAATTACCTAACAGAGCGCAGTAAACGAGCCGGAAATCATTGAATTTACTGCGAAATTTAATTCGCAGCACATCCGAATTAAGGATTATCAAAAATCGACGGAATTATATTTACTGCTATTCAAAAAACTAGACGCTTGCGGGTACCTACACCGAAATTATTGGACCTATTGGACTCGTGAAATATTCATTTTATCGTAAAAATCCGATTGCTCGCTCTATATAAAGAAAAATTCCGAGGGAAAGCCGGCGAGGCGAACCGAAAATCGTCAAGTACGTGATAACGTCATCGGAATGACCGAAACAAAAATACGGGACGCAAACGATTCACTGCCGGCAATAATTTCGCTCTTATACCAACATAGATTTTCCCGTCACGATTCCTCCACCGCACGATCTCTACTATACTTGATTGTTACATTTTATCTTTAGGCCAATGGAAAACTTCGCAGAATGTCACAGAAAATTATCATTGAATTCATCTACCGAGTTTATTTCTATTTATTCGTTTTGTTCATTAGGTACTATTAAAGCTAGAATGCCAATTGAAATTGGACCAACATACTAATTGAAATAACTATAGTCACTGAAATACTAATTAAAACGATCAAAATACTGATTGAACGAGCAAAATACTCATTAAAATAGTTAATATTGACCACATTTTAATCAACAAATGTGTGACAACGTTGAGTAAAGGGATAAACCGGTATTAGCACCCTGAATTCCTCCCTAAACTACGTACAAGACTCGACAGAGAGGAATATTTTCGCAATTCCGAAACGAATAATTTCCCCATTCATAATTCCTAGATTCGTTACGCGTCGGTGCGGAACGCTCGCCGTCCCGTAAATGTGATGGATCCCAGTCGAAATGATGGCGAGCGAGCTCGTCGGGCTTACATGTACAGGAATTAACGATTAATATTCATTGCAAATACCCCGGGGGTACCCTATGGCTAGTTTATGCGATGGATAACAACTTGTTTAAACCAGTCGGGCTGTTATTATTTAGGTTTATTCCGCGCCGAACATTACCGATCGCGTAATGCTCGGTAAATAAATCATAATCGTACTAGTACATAAAATAGCGTACGGTACCCTTAAGACTAAAATAAACGATGCATTGTTCTAGTTTATGTACGAATTTTTCGACCTCATTCAAATTTCCATTTTCCAACGTAATTTAAACAGCAATAAAAGCATTTTATCTTTTGAAATAGTGCACAAGTTCCTCGGGAATTCCCCGAGAACGTACGAACGTCTTGTAACGTTCGCTTGTTTAACGGAAATAAGGTCGGAGAGATAACGCAAACGTCATATTACGTTTTAAAATTTCGCGCGATTCGCCTAGGCAGATAACGAGTTATCGAGCTTGTTTCGAGCATTTTCCGGACCCGGAAAGCGACAGATGTGTTATTTACGATTTCGAAAATATGAATAAAATATCTAACAGGTGTTAAGAAAACGAAGTATCTGATGCAGCGCTATATTGACTAATTTACTTAAATTATTGACTAAATTATCCCTCCATAAAACACTGTTAGGTTTTAAACCGCCGTTAATTAGCAATTTCGGTCATTGTTATTCCGATACAACGAACGAGTTTCTCAACGTATATATACAAAAGGCGAGTTAACAACCAAATTGTTGCGAAGTTTATGATGAAGTGTGCTCACGGGCCGAGGACAACAATCCGCGTTTACCGAAAGTTTCCCATTAAAACTTTAAAGTAACTAAGCCGTTACTCGTTTGGAAGTGAGATATTGTTTCTAAACGGTAGCTATATACACTACGACGAAATCGCTACGATTTTGTTGTAATTTGCTTTATTTACTATAAAAACCGCAAAAGGTTTATGTTGGGTAAAGCTATTATAGCTTATTACAGCCTTGATGAAGGTGTAATAAACCGAAACGTTGTTTTTTTTTTTGGAGATGTTTGTAATCGAATGTTGGAGTATTTCGAGATTTCCATCACGTACCCTTCGAAATCTGTACTAAACATTTAGTTAACTCATGTGTAGTTTTAATTCACTTTAATTCAATTGTACGTATAGGGAATAATGAATCTAAGAAATCTATAGCCGAGTTTTCTAAGAGGTTTTCATTTTTCCAGTCACGATTGCGAAGCGGGAAACTTTCGCGAACGCTCCCAAAAAAAGAGGAAACCTCCAAAGTTCGAGTTTACCGCTGTTAATTCGGTTAGGATCGATTCGTAATAGAGCAATTTCTAACATGTCTAACACCGTTTCACTCGCTGGCGAATTTCATCTCGAAAAGTGGCTTGTTTCCATCAACCCCTTGACGGGCCGTCAACGCCGCAGACGTTAATTTGACAATGTGTTGGGGCCGATGCAATTTTAATTGCATCATCCGCCGAAATTCGGAAGTGGGATAAGAGTTCAACTTCTCCGCACGATTCGATTAATGATTCACTCGCGCAAACAGGAATAGTGGGAATAAAAATCGCGCGACATTGACCCAGTTCGGGAATTGGAAGGAAAGCGGGGCGGGAGGATAAGCACTCGTTTTTTTTTAATAGAAAACTGGCCAGTTGACGGAGACTGGCAATAATTACGTTTCTAATTGGGCGCTCTAATCGAACTTTTTGTTACAACAACTCACAACTGGGTCAGTAATTTTACCTGGCGTAATTGGCAGAATTATTGCCACGATTTTTATATTGTCAACCAATATAAATTCCATCAAAAAGTCCATCCGGAATTCCCCAATATGCATATCAAAGCCGGTCAGAATGCGACCGCACCTCTACCAGTCGAGTTTAAATTAGATTCTTCTTTTACTTTTTGTTAGCGACGATTTATCCCCGGTTTTCCCGGTTACTTTTACAAAAAAAACGCAAAGGGTTTTTTTCAAAAGGTAGGAAGGACCCGCCGATTTCAAATGACGCTTCTATAGCGAAAAGGGTCACTGGAAAACAAGCTGTTTTTCCCTTGAAGAACCCCCTATCGTATGCAATTTACGTTTTTCCGTGGCGGTATTGTAATAAACGCGGAAATTAGTACGAGTTTTCCTCGCGAAATCATAGTTTCCCGGCTTAATAAGTATACTGGAAGAAAACGATTAATCACGCACGGATGTCATTTACAAAAGTTTGCAAACTAAACGGGAAGTTCGAAAAGAGTTCCGCCGAAGAATTTGATATGAGTCGAGCTGTTTTTAAAGTAAATTAATATTAAATTCCTTACTTCGCTATCGGTAATCGCATTTAATGCGACGCGGAAAAATCCTCCTGACTGCGCCAGAATTTAATATCGCCTAGGTAATTAGTAGTAATTAGGTTTGGTTTATTAAACATTTTCACCCCAAGAAAATTAAGTGCAAATACTAAAATGATGCAAAATAAATCAACCAGATTTATTTGCCGCGCTCAAATAATATTTTAGAAATCACATAAAAAGTATAGTTTACTCGGTGCAGTTAATGACCTGGGCGTTTAAAATTCTAATTAATAGTCCCCTGATCTCTACATTTATGTTCCTCTCGAATTAATTACATTGGTAACTTGGAGTTATATAATGCTCCGATCTAATTTATTTTATAACGAATTATAATACAACTCTCTTCGAAGGCAATAAGGAAGAAAGCTCCAGCTAATTCACTAAAACTTAGGGATAATTAGACGATTAAGTTCGCGTTTAAGTTTAAGTTTCGAGCACCTGAGCCTGACGTGATTCATTTTACGAATAAAAGGAAAATAAATGGATTTTTTTTTGACAATATTCCAATCCGGTTAATTTCTGGTAAGACATTATTGAAACTTCCGAGCGAAAACTTTTTTAATATCAACAATTTAGCGAAAGGGTTGACTTTTCGTCAAAAATTTAATATAATGATTATTAACACTTTTACCTCCAGCAAGAAATATTAAATTTATGTAATACCAACAATATTGAATTTCAAAGAGAATGCTTTTGATGTGTTTCGTGGCAATATAAGAGTAAAAATGATTTATAAAAGGGGATTTTTAAAACTCTATTTACATTTTATTGAATATTTTTAAACGGCATTGCAGCGAAATCGAATAGTAAACGCACCATTATCAAAAATTGCGCATAATTCAACATAGGAAATGCATTCCAACAAACGCCCAATTATTGCCATATTTTTAATTGATCCGCCCGTTGTTTTACGTTTTTACGATGGTATTTCAAATTAAATATTTCAAATCGACAATCGAACGTTTAATTTACTGTTTATATTGAAATCATCAGTATATTCAGTAACAATGTCCAATTCGAAATAAAATTTTTATTCCGGAAAAACAACAACAACAAAATAATATTCAATGATGATGAGGATGAGGAACCCATCTAAAATTTATACATACAAAAAGAAACTAATGTTAGTATGTTAGAAAATATTTCTGCTAAGATAAAACAGTTTGATTCAGAGATGAACAAACCTAACCTAGTGCACCAGAACAGGAACTAGGTTAATGTCAACTTGCCCTTTCACCGGAAGACCTACTGACCTGGTGATGGTGATGGTGCAAATGGTGCTCGTGCCGATGGTGGTCGATGCCACCGTTGAGGAACCTGTACCTGAAGGGACTGTGTACGGGACAGGAATTGTGATAGGGATTATCCAAGCCCCTAGGCAAGTTCCCGGAAGGCGTAACGGGATCGGACGATCGCCCAGGCTGATCCCCCGCCCAGCCGTAACCCCCGCCTACGTCGTAGGGCGAGTGCGGATGAGAAGGCCATCCGCCCGGTCCGTACGGATCCAGGACGATTGATCGCGCTTCAACCACGATATTTCACAGACGATTTCGGATCGGGAATACGAACTGCGGGAAGGCGCTCGGTGAGCGCTCACCATCTGACAGGACGTCAGAGCACACACTACCCGACGGACGATCTCTCTCCTACGACGCGATGCTGCATGGAGCGACGCGTCGCGACGCGCACCTACGCCGACGCAGCGCCGGTCGCCACCAAATTCAAGGACTCCTCTCTCTGTGTGTGTGTGTGTTTTTTTACGTTTATATCCTTCGCATACCCATCGATATGCATCAATAGAATTCGAAGGTATGGACATTCGTATACACTTTGATTTATTTATACAGGGTAATACACCTAATAGATTCTTTTAATCAATCCTGATGGGTATAGTCGATATTATAAGGACTTGAGGATCTCCGGGCTCGTTATGCCCGGAAGTCGGTGTATCAGTCATAATTGAAAGACACGGTAGGTAAACGAGCGCATCGTTAGTCACTGTCAACTCTCGGGGGCGTTATTGATTTTTTTTTTGATAAAAAAGGGGTTTATTTTTAGGTCTAAGGGTTTTTTTTTCAGCAAAGAAAGACGGTTTAATTAAGGAACTCGAAAAAGGAGGGTTGGAAATTTTCGTTAACAGTACGCGGGAGAATCGAATATACAGCAATTAACAACAAATTGTATGTCCCTACCAATTCGATTTGCTAAATTGATTTAAAGAAATTAGAAATTGGATAATTTATACGAAAAAATAAGGAAATTCTCCCTACATAAATCGTTCGTTTTAAACCTCTTATTTTCCACTAAAAATGAGTACAAAGTTTATCTTTGAATAAAATGTATCGCATATACAAACCCCCATAATACATCCCTTATTGTATAATATATACCTTGCGTGGTGATAACTTATTGATCGTAAAAAAAAGCGTTTTATCACTCCATTTCTGGCGAGTGCCTAATAATTTTCGATGCGAAAGGGGAGCCCAGCGAAAAAATCTCCTAATATAGCGTTTATATTGCGGATTCCATCGCTCTAACCAGCTCCAATATCGGCCATAATATAATATATTTTTAGTACGAATCGAGTAGGAGGAATGCTTTTTCACGGTGCTTTAGCAGGTGATTAATTTACCGGCATAGCGTAAATAAATGGCTAGTTTGGAATTTAATATGTCTATTAAAATAGATTTTTTTTATGCAAGAAAATTTGTTGTGATTAATTTGACTAATATTTGATACTGCCCGTTCGAATGGAACTTGAAGTAATTGAAATTTTTTCCTATGGATTGTATTTTCGTACATGCGGCATGGGACTCTTTGTATAAAAGTATTTTCCGTTCCGTTTTTCCGTTTTTTCGCAAAGAGCACTTTTTTTCTATTTCTATTAGAGTGATAAAAACCCGCACTGCGCCGAATGCGAATAGTTTCTTTTTTGTTCCACTGGTAGACGTTCAAATAACAACAAATATCTCGTAATTCCCGCACGAATTCAAATACACGTGCGACGTTACATTATAGAAACTTCCAAGTTTCCAACATTGAGATCCGCATCAACCAAAGCAAGAATCAAGCACACACAGGATTAATTTAAATTAATAGTTTGTAGGTTTATCAAAGACAACACGAAGATTACTTCCTCTGAATTAATTAGGTACGAAATAAAAAATTTATTAATTCTGGCTTTGTATCATTAAGACGTGACGACTATTATGTGCATATATACACTCATTTACAGCAATTAAAATCGAAATGACGTCCCTGGTGCGATATTTCGGTCTATTAATCACGGCATAAGGGTTGAAAATGAGGGTTCGAATCGACCCGAGGGTTTAACATTCGGTTTATAACACACCCTCGCCGCGCCGGAGACGACAGTTTTTGCTTGAAGAAGATGAAGAACAAGAACCCCGAATCGAATTATTAGAGGGACGTGTCTACGCAAAAACAAACCGATATTACAGTAGGTTACATTTTTATATAAGAAAGAAACAACTAGGGAATATCTGGAACTAGGGGATTTTTTTGTTTCGAATGATTTATATTGGTAGCAGTGAACGTGACAGGTGTCAAAACGAGTTACAAAAAAAACCTAAATATTTTAGTAGTTTCTAAACGTTTAGCTACTTATTTTTGAAAATATTATAATGAAAGTAGGTATACCGCGAATTGGCTTTATTTATAGCACTATTTTTCTTCCTATTTAACAGCATTTTCAAGTGTTTATGTCTGAAACTAATGCACTATAAATTCTGTATCCAATATACCCGACCCGCGCTCGCTATTCGAATACCCATAATTCTTCTGTTCTATTAGTTTATTTCCCGTCGACCCGATTTTTGCAACTCCGCATCCACCATAGAATTTCCACATTCCCGTTAAGTCAAATAATGATGTTCTCGAAAGAAAAAACTCCATTTTTATCCAATTAACGAACACACTGCAATCGGATTTGGTTTATTTCGCGCAATTAACGAACAAAACTTTACTGATTTCAGCGCGTCGTCGAATCAAATTTTCGATTTCAATCGAGAAAACCGCTCGATAAACACGTAACTTTCGGCAAATTGAAATATGACAAACGCCGAATGCAATTTTGTCCGGAACGTGTACTGTACAAGCTTGCTGCAAGCACGTATATAAAAGCTGTTTACTGTTTTACCAACACAAAGGCACTACACGCACGAGTGCTCAACCGTAATAAAGCGATAAACAATCGTATTAATCGAGATATTAAAAAATTTGTACAAGATATTATTGGATTATGGCACCCTTTTTTGAATCAACTTAAAATGTAGATTCCAAATTCGGATTTTTAATTAGAACATCTTTAAGCAAGAGGAACTACTTTTAAAATTGCCTCGAGGTGTACGGAAATATTCGATCACCCTGTACACACGTCTAGAGCATAAAGTGGAAATAATATCGACTCGAAATCGCAAACTACATATATTCGCATAGACGTATTTATATAAACTTATTGCGATTCGCGCTTGAGCAAACAACGAAACCTCTTCTCTAGCGATCAGAAAATATACCAGTGATTCCTGGATAAACAAAATCGCCGGGGTTGTTTACTTCGCATTGTTTACGGAGTTACGGGGGGTTACCCGAGTCCGAAGGGGAGGTCAAAGGACCCGGTAGAGCGATATTCCCAAGTCGTTTTAATTAAAATTTCCCAATTATACATTGTAGTAATTTTTCATTGCGACAAACGCAAGTATTCCGTTCGGGGCGAATAAGTTTTCGGCGATAAAATGCCAAGTTTTGTTGTGGCATGGAAAGCAATTTGCGTTACGACCCGTCGGGGATTTTTACAATGGTTACCATCAAGGGATCTCTTCTATACTTTGTTTTTTTTTTCTTGCGCGATAATCACTTTTCGTTGAAGAAAAATTAATGGAACACTTTACCGCGCACCTGCAGAAATAGATTAGCGATAAAGCAATAGTGCGGATGATGTTTATTATTTCTCGCCTTTGGAAAAATAAGCACCACAGGGCGCAATCGTAAAAATTTCCATACGAAATGAAAACACCGCCATCGGCGATATCGGGAATATCTTTACAATAAAAATATCGCCGGGCTTTTAATCGAATTTAAAAAAAATATATGCTTTTACACGGGTCCTATCGCGGCTCGATGAATAAATCAAATTCCATTAATACCGAAGCTAATAGACTGTTGCTGGCACAAACGAGCAAAACAAATCGCGCGACATGCGAGCGCGATTTCGGCGTTTCTATACACATAACTAATCATTGTTCGAAATCGTTCGATAAATTGATTCTGCGGATCGCCATATATCGTTCTCCGGGCTCCCGGCGATTGATCATTTCCAGTCGAATGCGGCCGAGAAGCATTCAAATTAGCCTAAATGAACGATCGACTTGAGGGTCCTCGCATATTGTACAACACTCTATACCTTATAGGTCAAACAAAATATACACCACTGTGCTGTATTAGTTTTGATAAATGCTCGACGATACTTAGAAGTTAAATATTTATGTACGTGCTACGGAATTTATGTATACCAAGTTAAATTACTTGAGTACCTACAAGGTAAATTTAATAGAGAATTTGTAGTGCTTTTTTGTACGTAAGATATTCCTTAAAACTGGATCTCAAATTACAGGTAATATAAGCCTTATTACACGTGTACGTTCAGAATGTTACATTTCAAGGATGGAGGGACTTTAAAAGGATTTAACGGGGACATTACCTATATTGTTACCGCATCTGGGCAATCGGCGAGAATACGAGCCGGGGGGATTGTGTACGTTTCTAGTCTGGAAATCGGACTTAATGGTATCCATAAATCTCGGTATTATTAGCGGTTTCAATTATGGAGCAGGGTATAAGTACATCTCCTAAACGAGAATAATTAGTGTGGACTATTAAATGTTCCTGCTAACGTGAAAATTATATCCATTTGGTTAATTGTATCGAACGAATCGTGCTGTACAAAAGCATTCTTTTTAATGTAGTTAACTCAAAGAAGCACCATATTTATTACTCCACATGAATTAATATTAAATGCTTCATTATTAAAATTTTCAGTCGAAAAGTAGCTTTAAACTCCATCCAAAAACTCTCCGTTCCGCCAAAATCGATTCGCCTAAAGTACATAAATTAAAATTCCCAACTTTCGAAATCGGTAAGTTCGGAGTTTTCCATCAAGAGAAATTCCCAAAACTCAAATAAAGCCAAACATACTTTCACGAATCGATTTCCGTACATAATATACCGACGTCGAAGATAACATTGATTGATTAGCTAATTTACATGCAACGGAGTATTTTTTTAAAAATAATTTCGGCAAGTTCAAAGAATCCTCCGTGTTTCGATAACGCAACCACTTGTAAGAGAATTCATTTATCACTTGCCGCGGGAGTGCGAACTTTTAGGGGAATCTCCCGCAGGGAATCGAAATGTATCTTTAAAGAATTGCTTAATCCATTTAGAGTCATTTGCGTGATTTATTTCCCGCTTTTACACCCAGTTTTATCTCGCGAGTACAATCTACAGAGCTCTCGAATCTCCTTGCATTCGTATAGGCAGACCTTCTGGTTATATTCCCTTCAATTTCCAATTATCGAGGTGTATCGAATCTTTTGTGTCGCTCCCCGCGATACGCTATCGATTTGAATGCGCGGACAAAAGGCATCGATTTCGTTCGGCACGGCAAACGTTAACGAATTATTAAGAATTTCGCGGACGCCCCGAGAAAGCTCGTTTCGCTAATGAATCGAATTTTTTCCAATTAAGCAAACATTTGCTCTTCGTGTTTTCTCCACGAACAAAACTAATAAAAAAAAAGATCATTAAGACGATATTTAACAGTGTAATCGAGAAGAAAGTAATTTTTGACATATATCACTTGTCATACGCCAATTTTCATATACCTATCTTCAGAATAACTTCTGTAACTGACTAACTTCAGAGTATAAATTCTAAATACCTAAGTATCGATTTGATAGTACATCAAGAGGTAAATCGTCGATATGGCTATACAGGAATGGCTAATTAAAGCCATCATATCGCAAAATAGCCGTGAGGTCTTGCATTAAATTTGCCGGCTGATATTACTCGCTAAAATAGATGCCAGGAATGAAGATGTCAGTATATTGTTTGCAGTATGTCCGTCGTACAGATTTACTATTTATTACAATCTGCAATCCCGCCGAGCTTTATACAGGAGCATATCATTAGTTTCAAATGGAATATAATCTACATATTTGCATTGTTGAGTCTCCTTCTCGATTATAATACATTTAACCAATATACAATCACTTATTTTCGATGAACTTGCGAAGGATTTTCGAAACCGATACGTCCCTATTTCTGTTCCTCGATTAATCTCGCTTGATCAATTTCGCGTGAAGCATATTCGCCCGACCGGACTTCCAATAATAATGAAGGTACGAGAGACCCTTTCTTGTCCTTGCGCTTGTGTATCTTTTCGGGGGGTCTCGTTATAAATCTAGGAAGAGCTTTTCTTTTATCGCTCGAAAGGAAACGAATGAGAATTATGTGCGTGCGGTCGCAGGAAGAAGATATATAGAGTGTCCCACAAAATGGATCAGGTGGAATGGATTAAATCATTAGAAGTTGAGGGAGATTTTTCCTCGATCTGATACTATTTTTTTTACAAAGTTACACTTCGTGTATTTTAATTAGAAGGTTTAATGGCTCCCGATGGAGTGTTTCGTATGTTATTTTATACTTATAATACTTTTTTGTGATACTATATAATAAATTTCGCTAATTAATTGGCTGAAAATCGCACGGAAAGTTAGAAGGAAAATAAACGTTACGGAACGTGAAATGTTTGGTTTTTAAATGTAGTAAAAACTAATTTAACTTGGCAAAACAAATTTAAACGAAATTTCCCCGCAGTCGCTTCTTTAACTGGGGCAGTTCGAGTTGATTTAAAAGCGATTTATCGCCCACCCGCATGTATCTAATTCGCTTGTGAATCGAAAATTTTATATAAAAATGAAGTAGGTACAAGAAGATAAATTTATTAGGTGTATTCTTGTTAAAGGTACGTTGAACTCATCGCTCAACTATGTATTTTACGTTTATTTGTCTAGACGCGCCCGGACCGGTGGGACAAAAAAAAACTAGATAGCAAAAAAAACCGGGCAAATGAGCCCTTATCCGACTCGAAACGGCCGCTTTTGCTTCACAAATTCCATGATTTTCGGTCCGTTTAGGCAAGGTGCAAACGGCTTTTTTATATGCAAATCAGATACGAAACGTCGTAAATTAAAAGTTTAGCGAGAGAAGACGCCCGAGCGTCGCGGCGTCGAAAGAAAACCGGCTAATCTGAATTTTAGCCGCTTTTTTCGACCGACTCCGACGAAATTTTTTTATTAAACGCCCGGACTCGATTTTATAATCGTCAGAAATTAAATTACCATCAAGTTTTTAAGAAAAATCCGCATCGACTCACCCAGAATACGTTCGCCAGTAACTCAAAAACTCACCTGAAACAAAAAAACAATTCTTATCTTCCAATCATAATAAATTCATGCAATATAAAGCTGTAGAAGCCGCTAACTGACTGACGAATTCATAATCCTTTAGATTGAACAAAACATGTATACCGAAGGAAACGAGGTTGTACCAAAAAATCCTTACCTTAAGGCTCTGCCTCCTGTAGCACCTCGTCCTTGCCAAGTAATATTTATAAACGTGCGGCGGCAGAGAGCGTTTCGTCTCCTCGCCTATCCACGATTCGTTCAAACGTTGAAGCGAACCCGGCCCTGGACCCGCCAGGACCGGACGCAACGGCGATTTCGATGGATAATAGTCCCTTATCAACGGGAATCGACTGCTCATAACAACGCCGAACGCGCCTCGTTTCGACCACTCGACACTCGTCCACTAAATCCTTTATTTAGAGACGTTGCTTTATTATTTTGTATGACGCAAAGCCGGTTAATTCGAGTTCAATTTGGGATCGTAAATGAATAAGAGTGTGCGCTTTAGGTCTGGTTGAATGACGATTGGACTTGAACCGGCTTTTGCATTGGGAGGAAATCCGTATAGAATTGAGTCTAAAATTAACAGGATTGGGCTTATGGAATATTCAAACGCACAAACCTATTATCCATTTGCAAGAGGATCGCGGTGAAGTTGAAATACCTGATGCCCTGTGATGATTTACGTGAAGATATCGATCCTGTAATCCCATTAGAGATTATCAGGTCGACACGGTTGATTTCGCGTGTTGATCGACTCGACGAATATTAATATGGGTAACGTACATTACTTGGTATTCTATATTCTTATTAGATATACAGGATGGGCGATAAAGGTATAAAGGTAAAGGGAAAGAAAAAGAATGAATAAGATTAAAAGTTTTCCTCTAAAAATTGATTCAAAGTAGGTAATAGGCTCGAGCGAAACTCCCAGTTTTCGGGTAAAATATTCGAGCAAATCCCATCACCACAGGAAATTACGAATTTTAAAGGCTTTCTCTTCACCGTGCAAAATTAATCTCGGATTAAACGTATTTTCTCTGTCTTCGTCTTCGGCTTTTCTCTCGAAAGCTAATTTTACACTTGCAGAAAACAAGATCAAAGTTCGCAAATAGACTGGAAGTGTAACAGATTTTTCCCATAGCCAAGCTTTATATATACAAAGTTAAATTTTAATTAGTTAATTATTGAGTTCATTAATATTCGGTAGGTAAATATTTGCGATTATGTGCGGTTTCAAGCAAGAAAAACCCGTTCAAAAACAATCGCAAACTTAATTAAAATTCGAACTACCCAGTTCACAGTTAAACCAAATTGAATTTCGAAATTAGAACATCCGACGATTTTCAATAGAGTTACAAAATTGCAAGGAAAAATGGATACTAACAAATTCTAATCATGAAGCCATTGAATAGTAAACACTTACATAGAAATGCCCTGTATATACCAACAGGAAAGTTTAAGCACATCTGCATATGTTGCCAAACAGAAACAAACAATACCATTAGATTAGATTGAGCAAACTAAATCTATCAAGCTCTAGTTGACGCATCGGTCTAATTCGAACGCGACTCGCGAATGAATATTAATCGAATCCGGGAACAACGGGACTCGTTCGAAATAAAAGGATTCACCACTATGTCAGAAAGGAACGTTTATTTCTTCTACCAGTCGACGGAACAATGACCTAGATGTATTTAACCGAAGGCGAAAGACGCGGGACTGGCGTTATTAAAATGCGAAATGAATTCCAGAAGTGCCAAGGGGATATATCTCTGGCCCAAAGGGGGTATTGTTCTGAAAAATTAATATTTACGTACGTTTTGTTGTTGTCACTTAAATGCGAGGAAGGAGCAGCGAGAACAATAAAAATGAACAAAATGGTAGATTGTTCTCATATTTCAAATGATATTGTAATAGAAGTATAAAGATAGAGAGTGTAAAACATACCTAGTAAGCACATATTTTTTGTGTGTTTTATAACTGTAAAAATTAGGGTTAGGGAAGGTATAAATGTTAAAAATGATAGCTTTGTCCAGCTCGATTTTCAATTATTCACACTACAGGAGGAATATTCTCCCAAACTGCCATCGCTAAAAATAATCTTGAAAAATTAGCATTACAAATTCGCGTCGCTCCTTATCCGCGTCCCGATTATGTACATGATTAATGTTCGGCATGGTTCATTTTTTATATATTCTCCAGGAAATTTTCCCGCCCTCGCGACAGACGCATTATCCATATTAGTTCGGAGCGAAATTTTCGAGAAGGCGCGTTCTACATCAAGGAAAATCCACCAACAATTTCAATTAACCATCCCGCACCGCAACTAAAATTCCCCGTTCTATGTGAGATATAGGGCTCCTTCGACGGGCTGATTTCGGGCGCGCCCCCCCTTTTAAAGACGCTACATTATTGCGCGCGAACGGGTGAAATAAGTTCGGCCGGGAAAGCCGAGGTGAAAAGTCGCAGGGGCCGTAAATAAGAGGGATGAAAAAGGAATGTCCTGCGGGAGTTGACTGCTTTATTCCGCCCCTTTGTCTTTTACCAGCTTCTTTACAAAGTGATATGTATGTCTACGGTAATGAGTTTGGAAATCGAGCAAGTTATGGTAGAGTTTTAGGGTGACTTAAATAACTGAGTAAACTGAGAGTTCAAAGGGTTACAAACATAAATATTAAACACGTTTTATAAACGTAATTAATAAGTGCTCTTCATTTCAAACTGGCCAATATGTTAGGCAAAGTTGGAATTAATTACATTTTTTATCGGCAGTAAATTTAATGCGAACAATGAGGGAAGTGTAATTTTATAAAATTTCCATCAACCGCATCGGCCAGTTCCTCTAATTATCCCAGTTTCCATATCACGGAAACTTTTCGTTAATTATCCTCTACCGAGGCGGCTTTCCACGTTCCGGAGTTCTCTCCAAACATTCGAGAATTTCAAAATACATTCATACTAAAAAATTTCGTTTTTTCGTTACAAATAAAACACCAAACTAAAAACAGACCTACTTTCAAGTGTTTAGTTAGTAATTTCTTACTGCTAGTAAATGGAGCAGATACATTTATCCTTAGCCGGGACTATCTGCAAGATCCTTATCCGATTAATGATAAATGCCGAAATATTATCTTGGGTTTCCCCTAATTCCGCCGAGTACAATGAGCCTATTCAGCACACGTTCGGATATTGAATTGCCAACTTACAGACCGATTTCTCTTCGTAATCATTTGTTCGACGGGCGTACGCGATTCAAAACGTTTGTAAGGTCGTATTTTTGCGCCGCTCGATCGCTCATTAATCTCTTTAACCGCCGCTCGAGACGCTCGTTTCTCGTCTCGAAGACGAAATCCTATTTATTTATCTCTACGTTATACAATATCTTGTTATTAATTTAGTTGAAGAGTTAGTTGCGAAGTTGCCCCGGTAGGTCGAGTGCGATATTAAACTCTCGTAAGTAACTAGTTTATTCGAAAATCCGCAAAACTTCCGTTCATATTAGACTGAAGTTATTGGAAAAGCGACGCAAGAAATTTGGGAATTTACACCACCAATGCAAAACAAGGAGATTAACTAATAATAACATCCACCAAGATATTAAAAATCTTATGCAAGATACTGCATCCACCATAATTCCAAAAATCTTTTGCAAGAGACTGATCTCATCCACCAAAAATTTGAAAACCTGTACGCAATAGAATGAAATGTTTCGCTGTAATTAGAAAAACTGCAAGTCAATCGAAAGTCCGATCCTTATAATTGGTAATCACTCAAAGTGGGCGCTGCTATTAATTGAAAATCCAACAATAGCGGCCATTTCGGCCGGTGATCGCTTAGTTTAAAAATCGAGTAGCGAACAAAAACGAAACAATAAAGCGCATATATCGCCCGCTAAAGCGCCTTTGATCTCGCAACACCTTCGACCGTTAAATCCTTTCGGATTAATTAAAGCTGCCTGGGCTGCAGTTGAAACGGTTCGCGATGGAATCGCATGATTTATGAGTCAAAAGTGTACACGAAGCCCTTGATTTATGCGAATGAAAAGAAGCGAGAAAAAAAGGCCGATTTATGAGGAGTATTTTCGAAATGGAACTTTCAAGTAGGCGCATTTAAATATTAAAGTTATCTCGGCGTTCTTGAATCGAAATGGAATCGATCATTGTTCGAAATTATTCGATGCTTTTGTGTACGGTATTTTCGATTATGCGAGTTAATGCATGCATTCAGAAACTTTAATTATTAAACACAAAATGGAATTAATAAATTTTCAAACAAAATTTGCTGATTTGCATATAAATCGAATGACATTGCGTTTCTGCTTCAAATACAAATATTTTCTATGCATTTATTCATGTTCCATTGAAAAACAAACTCAAGACAAGTTCCAAAACAAAACCATTTTATGCTTAGAGCAAATCTATAGCAAGCCAGGTATATGCAAAACAATTTAATTTGAAAATATTTAAGCGACGAAATTCTGTCGTAAACCGAAAAACGTTGAATTTCAGTCGCCCAGCGGAAAAGCTCGTTCGTTTTTATGAAAAACAACAGGGACATTTACTTGCATATTTCGAGCCGGAAAATGCAATTTAGTACTTTATTAAACAAATATTTACTAGACCAAACTACTCGAATACTCGGGATTCCCCGAGACGAGCGACAGAGCCCCGTATACTACGTATGAAACAATGAGTGAAAATCGTTTTTCCTCGCAAATCCGCCTATAAATCAGCGCCTTTTACGATCTACATACTACACTCATTTCATCTCCGAATCCGCGGCAACAGAGAATAATAAACTTGTTGAATGGAATGTAAACCCAACTAAATTATTATTGGAAATCCGTCGAGGATTTTTTCGGAATTGCAAAGAGGTAGTTCGAATCTCATCTTGAAAAATGAGTCCAAACGCAGATGTTTTCATGCATTTTTTAGTGCACTATACTAATTTTTTGGGATAGCATTCTAGTTTTCTACGCCAATATAATATTGTACATTGTAGCAAAGCCCTAGTCTGATTTGCATAATATTTTTCAGTGGAAAATCCCGGAACAATTTAATTTGCATAAACCCTTCCGCTCCGTAACAATAACTTTGTATTCCGCGTATAATATGTCAGTTGTCTAGCGTTAATTCAAGTTTTCGGCGAAATTTTGATAAATAATCGGCTTAGTAAATGAGCGAAAAACGCCCGATGTTAATCCGCGTTCGCCATTTTAAACCCGGTGTTTCGTTGTTTGATTGTTGAAAAAATTGAATAGATAATACTACTTTTTCCACGACAAATCGATTTAAATCGCTACGTAAACTGATCTCTGATTTAATCTGCGAGTTAAAATCCTCTTATAGTTAACTATCGTAGGGTGAATTTCATTAAAGGCCGATCTAGTGATTACGAAGG